CCACTGGCTGGAAATGCTGACTTTGACATTACTGAATGTCTTTCTGGAAGCATGGAGCAAGGAGTAGCTGCCAGAAAACACACAAGTACAGGTTGGCTAAACAATCTCTTGAGGTCAAGTGGGAAAGGACAGAACTCAAAATACAGATACATGCTGTCTAAGCAGACAGCATAGCAGAGGACTGTCAATTTTGGAGATACAGTCAGCAGCAGGAACCCTCAAATTATGGGCAGGCACACTGATTTTTCTGGGGAGTTGTGAAATAGGGTCATGGCCAGAAAGGATTTCCTCTTCTATTTTCAAAAAAGGAGGTGACTGGGCAACAAAAGAAGTTGCGCTCATCTGGCTAACCACCATTACAAGTTCTCTTCCAGAGACCAATTAGGTACCACTGGCAGTATTGTTGTGAAGATCAAAGGATATCAGCAAGGCAACATTTGTAAGGAGAGGCAGTATAGTATCCCAGCTGTTGTCAGCTGGTGTAATAGACAAGCTTTCAACAAACAAATCTAGCAAACCTTCAGGTATGAAGCAGTGACTTCTCTGCTCTAGAGTCTGTCCACCCTCTGCAAATAGTACTTTCAGGAGAGAAGAGGACCCCAGAAGCAATTACAGCATATTCCATCAGTCAGAACAGGTATTAAACGTGTTCTGAGCATCAGCATTTGCTTCCTTCCTTGTTTCAGCTAGTTCCTCCTCACACCCACCGCATTCACCCTTCTGCAACAGAGTGCTACTGGCTCGGCACAGTCAACCTCACCTTTGGTGCAAGCCCTGTTTGTGGCTGGATTCCCCAGGGGCATAGCACACTTCACAACTACATGACAACCAGACCAGTTGGTACTACTGTCTTTTAAGCTTGTTTTCAAGGCTCACAGCCAAAGGTTGAGACTATTTTCCCATCTTCATTTTCCACCTTCAGACATGCCCTGACCTCCCCTCCCAAAATTCAGTGAGATGGACACTTCTCTGAGCAGAGATACGCAGAACCTACCTGAAGAAGGTCAGCAGGAACACAACAATATGATGGTGGGTGCAGTGGGACACAAGGCCTCTGTCTGCAGGCTGCCTCCGTAAGCTTCCAGGCAAAGCCATGCTCCTGGCAGCCCCGGCCACAAAGGCTGGATGATGCTTAGGTCATTTTTATTCTCACTTAAACAGAAGAAGATGGGAAAGGAAAAGAAAACATATTTGAATTAACACTCATGTATAAAAATACATCCGTGCTCCCGAAGGAGCTGGGATTCGGCAGGAACACTCTATGCCATTCCTTCCCGATTTGTTTCGCATCACTACTCATCTCGTCACCTATACATTCCTTGACACATTCTATGCCCCGAAATGTGTTTTTATTCCCACTCTCGCAGTACCCTCATGGCTATCCTTCAACCCATTTCTTTGGGGGATGCCTCTTCAGTGTCCATCACCAAGGAGCTCCCCCAAGATCTATCCATTTCTAGTGCTCTCATGTTAAAGACCATTCCACACCATTTACATCTGCAGTACACTGTGGAGTAGTCTTAAATAAGGTAACCTCCCATTGCTGCCTGGCTGGCTATGGCCTGGTGATGAAGTCAAGAGAAGAGCATTTGGCTACTGGTAGAGAATAGTTTTGGATCTAACTGCCTCTTTAAGATGTCATTGAAAGAATATACTCAAGAGTGGACTTGCACAGCGGAAGAAAGGAAGGCAACTGTGAGGTCTGTGCTGAAATCCAACAGCTAGTCTCCCTGCCTGCTCATTCTCAAGCCCTACATTAAAGCTCCATCTGTCACTAATTCAGTAAGTTCAGCATGTGGCAAGTCATACTACCTGTAGGGCATGGGTGACATCTGCCCAAGCTGCTATACATCAGAAATTATCGGTACTGAGGAAAAGTTATGATACAGGCACGGAGCTTCTTAGTGCTGGCTTACCCCACACTACTGCGCTCCCTCAGCTGTGCTGGCATGGCTGAGGGATCATTTCATGCCTCCCTTTTGTTTTCTTGGCAGGGATCTTTTCAGACAGATTTCTCTGCCACAGCTCACAAAGCAACTACAAAAACACTTGTGTCCGTGCAACAGAGAACAGTGCAGAGAAAGATATGCTCTATAATAGCATCACTGCTGAAGGCAGAACCCAATTTTGTTAATGCAACCTGGCTTAAAACAGCTCCACAAGTCAGCTGGTGGGAACTGCATTTTCAGAAGACATTCAGACACCCCACACATTCTGAATGCTGAGAACTAAAACGATGCACCACCTGTGTTCCCCCAAAGAATTAGAGCTGAAATAAGATGGAACATAATGCTTTTGTGTTCTTTTGTATCCACAGGAACTGCTTGTAATGATTGGTGAATCTGCACAAGACTTTTGAAGTACAGCTTCAAAACCTCACTTGCAGAAATTCAAAGTCATTGCCCAGGCTTTCTCTTATCCAAATTTCTGCTGCTGAAAACTCTGCATGTCACAGGGACTTTCTGCTCTTCCTTCTTATAACTCCTAAAGGTTTCATCAAGACAGCTTCCACTGCAAGAAGTCTTTCTTTCGTGTTCCATCAATGATGATGCATGTGTGACCGACAGACAGATACCAAGTACGACTGGATATATTAACCACCACTGGAGAAGCTGTGGCTGCCCCATCCCTGGAAGTGTTGAAGGTCAGACTGGATGAGGCTTTGAGCAACCTGGTTTAGTGGAAGTGTCCCTGCCCATGGCAGGCAGTTGGAACTGGATAATCTTTGAGGTCCTTCCAAACAATTCTATGATTCTATGATCCGACCTCCAAAACAGAGTATGGCATGGAAATCCTCTGAGTAATACGGATTCAGCCATTACACCTTTGAGACACTGGAGTCCCATTTATCCCATGCTAGACTTGAACACGTTATTCTCACGCAGGACAAAGGCAGCAAGTCTGTACAAGATCTGAGAACACCTGCATCCACACAGCCCGAGCGCATTTCAGCCATGCTCTCATCGCTCCAGCGAGCACAGACCACCTAGGTGTGCCAGCACCAAAGGACATGCTTCTAGACTGCATGGGTTCACAGAGAGCGAAAGAAAAAGCACCTACATCTGGAACCATGAGAAGCCAAGGCTGGCCCTGGAAAAGGCAACTTTGTATGTAGCCTGGAAACTACCTCCATCTAAGGTCCCAGACCATTTCTCAACACCAGTGAATGAAAACTCAGCACCCCCAGAAGTATCACATGGCAGCAATAAAACTGCCTGGGGCCATTGCCCACACAAGCAGCATGAAGAGAGAGGAACCCCAGGCACTCCAACTGCCCAGCATCACAGTCCTTGCAGGCCTGTGGACCACAGTTTCACCAGACACAAGAGCTCATTCTCTTTCCTTGCCTCTCCCTCGGCTCCCACTAGGCAACAGCCGGTAACAGAGCTCTTCTGAGGAAAGCAGAACACAGCCAGTTGTGCAACGCTGCAGGAAAAGTTCCTTCCGTGGGTAACCAGGCCACAGCCTGGAGCACAAGATTTACCACCTGCTTTATGTCAACATATGCAAACATAGATTTTATTTGTCCAAGATACCGAGTCCCTTTAAAGCTAAAACCCAAGTTTGACCTTAAAGTCACCCTTTTTTTTCTTTAATAGCATTTACTATTGAAATTACCCGCTCCTCAGAGCTTTTCAATCTCAGCTTGCTTTCTAGACGACCTTCAGGAACAGGATGACACTTCCCACTTATGGTCAGTGTAAAGATAACTACAAAAGATTTCTTTTTTCTTTCTTCATTTTGCCCTTTTCACATTCAAAACTGGCACTCTCCCTAGGCTAGAGCAGCATGCAACTAGGGGTTTATCCTTACAAATTAGCCTTCTAATTACACTGAGAATACCACATTAAATTTGTAGTGGAGGAGAAGGAACAAAAACCAGGAGGAAGGATAAACCACAGAACTCAAGGCAGAGCACCACAAGCCTTTAAAAAAGGCAGAGAACTGCTTTCCAGGTGTTAAGACAGCTCATCTGCTCGCTTAGCACTATTTACCTCCAGCTGATACTTTGTATAAGCTTTGTTAAGCTTTCCAAATTCTTCCTTATCCCTTCACTTCAGGTCAAAACAAGACACCTTAAGTTCAAAACAAACCTCCTTAACACCACTCTGCCGTCCTCCAGAGCCGCCAGGGAAGCCCAGAATTCGCATTCCTAGGGTTCCCCTAGGAAACCACCCCGAAGCCCCAGCTGTATGCCGCCTGGGAGGACATGGGGCTGCTCCAAGCACCGAGTCGATCCGAGCACTACGCTACGGGTAGCTCCAGCGGAAGAGACGCGGGACAAGCGGCGCAGCCCCGGGCGCAGGCCGCGCTCCCGCCGGCGGCCACGGCTCACCTGAGGCCGGCTGCGGTGCGGGGCGGGGCGCGGCCGGGCCGGTTCCCCCGCTGAAGCACCGAGGCAGACGATGAGAACACGGGTTCTTCCCCTCAGCGAAACCCCGCGGGTGGCCCGGCGGCCACGTCCTCAGCGGGGCGGGGCGGGGTGGGGAGCGGAGCCCCGCCGAGCCGGCAGCAGCAGGGCACGCCGCGGCTCCCCCGAGACCGCCAGCCCACCACAGCCATCCGCCAGCCCTGCAGCGCGGAGCAGCGTAGCGTAGCGTAGCGCACCCCTCCTGCCCCGGGACAGCAGCACACATACCCCACGCCCCCCCTTCGCCGCTTACCGAGCCCAGCGACCGGCACAGCCCGCAGGAAGTCGTAGGAGGGAGGCGGCTCTTCCGGCAGACGGGCCCAGGGGCATGGCGGGAGCTGTAGTGCGGCCCCTCGCCGCTGCCGCCCCCCCGGGCACTGCGGCTGTGACCCGGGCGAGCCGGGCCCCTCGCCTGCTGCCGCGCCTGGCAGCGCGGGGAGCGAGCGACGGCCGCACCGGTGCCCGGCGGAGCCTGCGGGACAGGGCGGGCGGAGGAAGACAAAAACTACATCTCCCGCCGGCCCCGAGAGGGCCGGGGCGGTGCAAAGCGGGCGGTACCTGTCCTGGCAGGGCAGCGCCAGCAGGTGAGCGGGCAGCGGCCGGGACAGGGCTCCTTCTGCGGCCCTCGGAGCTGGGGTCCTTCTCATTGCCGCACCTCGGCCCGCCCGGCAGCCGCGATGCCTTTCCCCAGCTCCAGCGCGGACGATGCCTTCGACTACCTCTTCAAGATCATCCTGATCGGGGACTCTAACGTGGGGAAGACGTGCGTGGTGCACCGCTTCAAGACGGGGCAGTTCAACGAGAAGCAGCAGAACACCATCGGCGTGGACTTCACCGTGCGCTCCATGGACATCGACGGCAAGAAAGTGAAGGTGAGGGGCTGGGGGGACCCAGGGGAAGCGGGGGGACTGCAGCACTTCCCACCCGGCCCCACTGAAGGCAGTAGCAAGAGCCGGGTTTCATGCTGGCCAGGGGTGCTTCCGGGGTGATATTTTCCCGTGGGAGGATCCCCTGGGGGAGGCAGTCACACTGACTCGGTACACTCACCCTAAGCTGGTACATACTCACTCTTGCGGCTTTCCTGGATCTGTCTTTGGGGAGAGAGGGCTCATACTTTGCCTCTATGGAGATAGTGTTTTGAAAGCCAGCTCTGGTTTGAAGGGAGTGTCTCTTCCTTCACTCGGAAATCATAGACTGGTTTGGGTTGGAAAGGACCTTAAAGCTTATCCAGTTCCAACCCCCCTGCCATGGGCAGGGACTCCTTTCACTAGACCAGGTTGCTCCAAGCCCCGTCCAACTTGGCCTTGACCACTTCCAAGGGCAGCCACAGCTCCTCTCAGCCTGTCTTCATGGGAGAGGTGCGCCCACACTCTGAGCACCTTCAGTGGCCCTCCTCTGGACTGGGACACTGAGGAGGGAAACCCCTCTAGTTTGCAAAGCTCTGCTTTGGAGTGTACTTGATTTGACGGAAGATGAAGACTTGTAAGACAAACACCAAAAGAATTTGTTATCTACAACTTGCCTCTATGTGCAGATGAGAATTCAAATGCCTGCCCTTTATATGGCTTTGCTCTGCCCAGACCTGCATCAGGGCTTCTTAGCTTTTCTCCCTTGCCTATTATAAGGCTGTAACACTCTGTATCTTTTAGTACAGTTGGTCTCTTTACAAAGTTGAGTTTGCAAAAGCTTGCAGCTTTCCCTTTGGTCTGGTTGGATCGTCTTTACAGGCATGTAAATGTCTCTTCATTGTAGAGATGTAGAGAGAGTGCAAAGCCACTACTGTGGTGTAATGGAGTGAGTTGGGACAGGTCTAGCTGCTTTCTAGACAAGGGGTTTCCAAAGCATAGCTAGTGATGGCAGACACCAAGGAAGCAGTATTTGCTTGTCTTTACAACTATCACCCTTTCTCTTACAGATCCAAGTGTGGGACACAGCTGGTCAAGAACGCTTCCGGACAATAACCCAGTCTTATTACAGGAGTGCCCATGGGGCCATCCTTGCCTATGACCTTACTAGGAGGTCCACATTTGAATCCATTCCTCACTGGATTCATGAAATTGAAAAATATGGTGCTGCAAACTTGGTCATGATGTTAATTGGTAGGAATCTAATTTTAGATATTACATTATGTAGTTTTTAATATGTGTGTAAAATCCCCCTCGCTTTTCCTCCACTACTTGAAGCCTCTATAAACTACGTATTAAAGAAGAATGCAGTTTTGATTAAAAGAGATCAGAAAGTGTATCGGTTTGTCCTGAGCTTAAAGAAAATGAGGAAAGTCACAGCAGGACCAAGCTCATAGTACAGTGAAACCTTTTTCCTTGTTTCTTTCTTGCTGGAATAATACAACAAGCTTGCTAATCTAGCAAGCAAGGACAACTCTGAGGTTGAATTAGGTTGAATTTAGGTTGGAGTTGCAGTGAGCTTTACCCTATGCTCCTGATGTGCAGGAATTTAGCAGCTCAATAATTCAGGAAGGGGAATGCACAGAGCAACACAACTCCTAGTTCTCATCTTTCCTCTGTTCTTTTGATAAGCCTGCGCATTGGTCTGTAATGGGACTCTGATCAGGTAAGACAATAGACTGGGGACATGGCTTTTGCAGAGCATGAAATAGTCTGCTTGCATTCCTCCTCCTTGTTTCCTCCACTATATTCAGGAAGCTCTGCCCCTTCAGGAAAGGAATGGGTAGGAGCTGCTGGGAATGGAGCTTGTAGGAAGCAGTGTGGTTCTTTCCCTTTGTGTTTCAAGTTGTTATTGCTCTTCCCTCCCCCATGGAAGAAGCTGCAAGTGAGAGAACCGGTGTAATAAAATGACAGAACCTTTATTTACATTCCCCTGCTTCTGCCTGTTCTGCTGTGGCACTGTGCCGAGAGCAGCACGCGCAGCCACAGCAGCCCAAACCAGCTTTTGGAGACAGGCAGCAGAGCCCCACAGCACAGCCGGCATGGGTCCTAAGCATCTGCTTGTGCTCCTTGCAGATTACTGTGCTGTGGTAGTTCTTCCTGTTCTTCCTCTGCAAAAACAAACCCTGACCTGCATGTAACCACAGTGCTTGGAATGAGTCAAGAGGTGTTGGTGGGGGAATAAATAACTTTGGTAGGGCTTTTCTAACTCTTCTCATTAAGCTGAAGAGTAAGACCTACCTGTGTGTATTGTGAGGATTGATGGTGGTAGGATTTGTTATTTTTCTTTTAAGAAAGAAGGTCTGAAGTTGGTGAAAATGAAGCTTTTTAACAAGGATCCAGCTTGGTGCTTTCTTCCAGAGCTGGTGCTTTACTTACTGTGGCAGGAAGTCTTTGTATGTTTCATTACACACAGTCATGTTGTACACCTTTCTAGCATGAGGTTAACATAAAGTCCAACTTTCCCATCTGGAACTGAAGGAGGAAAGGAGGTTGGGAATCTTTTTAAGAAGGCAAATAACCCTCAAGCAAGACGTGTTTTTTGGGGTGGGTTGATGTTTTGGTTTCTTTTCCTTTTAGAAGAACTTAAAGGGACTTAATGGGAAGGGAGTTGGCTTATATTCGAATTCAAGATTTGAATTTGATGAAGGGTTGTCTTGAAACTATGAATGTAGACTTCAGCCAGGTACTGCATGTACCAGAACTGATGATAATTTCACATGTGCTGCAGCTGCTTAAATAGACAAAGGTATTTTATCTGAGGTGTTTCATGACCTCTGACGGATTTGAACTGCTTCAAGTGAAAGTTAAATTTAGACATGTGGAAACTTAGTAAGTATATATTTTAAGCATTATGGTGGCTGGTGTGAATGCTTGTCTTTTTTGACATAATCCATGGCTGATGTGTATAAACAGGTCATGTTAAAATCTGATTAAGTTAGCCAGGCTCTTTCTGGAGTTTAGTGGGGCTTTCTGGGGGGAGGAGATCTGCTTTAGGCTAACAACATTGCAGATCTTCAGAGCTGAGCACCCACCTTGAGATGAATTAGGGTGGCTTGACAATAGCATAACACATGTGGCTTCCACTGAAGGTTGAGCGAGGAATAAACCTTCGTGTAAAATTGCTTTGGTTTGCTGTGTACACATTGCTGTGTACAAGATTTCTATATTTTTTAGTATCTAAGTTAAAAGCTACTTAATGTTTTAGAACACTAGGGGATAGGGACCAAAAGTTGCTTCCAAATAATCCTCTGGCATCACTGCCTACAGCAAGTAAGTAGCTAAACACAGGGGTTTAGGTTTTGTTTGGATTTTAACTTATTTGCTAGCTGCAGTTTTGATCCACATTCTGTTTGTGGCTTACATCTTGGTTGTTGGTTGTTTTGTTGAGTTTTTTTTGCAGTAACTTCCATTCTTAACGTAAATCTATTGCTTAACAAAACTGAATTAATTTATTGAATTTAAAGATTAATTTGTTGAGAAACTAAGTTATTGAATTATGTATTTTCCTTCTTTTAAGGGAACAAATCGGATTCACTGGATAAGCGCCAAGTCCTGTTTGAAGATGCCTGCACATTGGCGGAGAAGCATGGGCTCTTAGCTGTGCTGGAGACATCGGCTAAAGAAGCTCAAAACATAGAGGAGGTGTTCATGCTAATGGCCAAGGAGCTAATAGCCCGTAATACCTTACAGCTTCATGGAGAGAACCCTCCAAACAGCATCTATCTAGATTCCAGGCCAGTGATTGCCAGTCCAAGTGTGGAGAAGAACCAGTGCCTCTGTTGAAGAGAGATTTCAGAAAGAACTTGAAAGTCATCATTCTTCTGAGGCTGTTGGATTTCACTTTAGTCAAGTGATGAGAGCGTGCTATGTGGCCTTGAGCCATCTCTCTTGATATCTCTACTTTGCAATTTAGCTGGTAAGCATCTTCAGAGATTGTTTCTGTTGGTAGCACAGGCTGCTTTGAACATGGCAGCTGATACTTTAACACAATCTTCTGAGCTGGGAGGACTCAGGGAGCTGTCAGCCCTTGCCTTAACCAAAGAGAACTGTAGAAATTACTGCCTTCTATTATCTCCTTAAGTGATGCTTCTGGCTGTGTCAGAAGATAAGTTTGCACCAGAGCTCTGTTTGATTTGACCCTTTTAAGCTATGTTGTTTGTTCTAGTGCAAGCACTTTACTTTTTGCTGGTAGCTTTAAAAAGCCTGACGTGCTTGGACAGCGCTAACCCACTGCTGCTTAAACTTTCATTTAGGGGCAGTTCTGATGTCAGGCATGTAACCACCCATCCCCAGGAACTGAGTTATATCTGTGCTGTCACCAGACAAACCTGGAGACATCCCTGGGGTTTCACAGCAGGCAGAGTGTGTTAGAAGAGGGTCCCAACCCTCTTCCTGGGGTGAGAAGAGCTGGTTTTTGTATTGCTCTGTAAGTACTGATTCCAGTAATTATCTCTGACCTGCTACATAGTCTTGCTAGGAGTAGTGAAGCTTCCAAGGCACTGGTAATGACCTAAATCAATGCTGGGGTGAAAGGAATTCCCCCCCCATGCACACCCTGTCTTGCTCTTGATGTGCTGATTTTAATCAAAAGCCGCCTGTAGTTTGCATGGTGGGCCAATGGCAGCTTGAAAGTATACCTGTAGATTTTCAAGGCAGTGTGAAGAAAGGTTTCAAGCTTCTGTAAAACTCAGCAAGAGGTGTAAGATGGTTTGATTATAGAATCTCACCTCAGAGCAGCAAGGGAATGGTATGGGGTATACCAGAAGGTTACCCCCAGGCAAGTGCGTAGGCTACTGCTATGGAGACGAAACATCCTGGTAGCAATAGAAGGGTTTGTATTGCTTCTCCCAAATGCAAGCTCTGCTACTGGAGACTAATTTCTGTGTACCAGAAGGAAGGGTTTGTGGTTGTAGTTTGGTTGGTTTTTGTTTGGGCTTGTTTTATTTTTCCCTGAAAATGGAAACAAAGAAAAGGAGGGAAGAAATACTATGCAGATATTTTTGACTGCAGTCCACGTGTACCAAAGTGTGCCACTTAGTTACTGTTAAGTTATGAAGTGGAACTCAAACTCTGTAATGATAAAACACAGCCTGGGTTACAGGCAAAGAAGCCCTGGGAAGGCTAGTATGCTGCTGGATTACCAGACGGCAGCCTACCCATGTTTCACAAGTTCTTGAGAAATAAGGGAAAAACATGTAGAAAGTATTTCTGGAAAATCTTGTCTGAGAAGCACAAAAAATAAAGCATAATGAATCATTGATTTATAGTCTAGTATTATTAATGCTTGCTCTGGCCAGGTTCTTTGCCATCACTTGCAAAGAGCAGGGGTTAATGCAGCTATGTGTAAACCAGTGGGGTGGTCTTCGGTGTTAGCCTTTAAGCCTTTTGCTATGGCCTGGTGTGGCAAAAGCATCCTCAGCATCTTCTTTCTGATGTTCAAAATCTTCGTTTGATCTTGATTTGTGTTGTGTTTCAGTTCACATATTTAACAGTTAACACCATAACTTTTCAAAATAGCTGAAGGAGTAGCAATACAGTTTCCATGCAACCAGTTTTGCCTCCTTTTGGCACTATGAGGATGGCTGAATGCAAATTTAATATTCTTGTGTGTTTAAAATCCAAACTAGTGCTGGTAGTAGTCTGTAATGTAGTATTTTTACTTTTTCTTTTCTTTTAGTATCTACACTTACACTGCTAGCAAACTTTGTATTTCAGATATACCAACAAATACTAATCTTCTAGGAGAGCTTAATAGAAAAGCATTGTGTTCATCTCCAGTTCCCTTTCATTAGCCACGAATTAGAGGATCTTGCCACCAGAGTATTAATCAGGTTTACTGCCTGGGAGACTGCTGTATGAAGTTATGCTGCTTACCCTCAGTATGGAGACTTCTGCAGGCTAATGCTTTCTTAACTGCCCAACACTGCCAAGTGACAGGGAGCTACTTGCAAGTAAGTTTTTCCTTGGCACACAGCTCTGCAACATGGGGTCAGGGAGAACAGCCTTGTGAATGTGCCCTGAGCTGCACTGCTCCTTTCCCTTTAGCAGGTGCAATAGGCTTCTCAATGTTCTTTCAAGAAACTAGACTTGAAAACCTACCTGTTGTGCAACTAAAACAGGAGTGTGACCTATCTTGGCTAGCTCTGACATCTTTCACAAGCCCTGTATACAGTACAGTGAATGGTTTCTATAGGGTCAGTTTTTGAGCTGCCCTGGAGTCACAGAATCATAGAACAGTTAGGGTTGGAAAGGACCTTAAGATCGTAAAGTTCCAACCCCCCTGCCATGGGCAGGGACACCTCACACTAAACCATGTCACCCAAGGCTCTGTCCAACCTGGCCTTGAACACCGCCAGGGATGGAGCATTCACAGCTTCCCTGGGAAACCTATTCCAGTGCCTCACCATCCTTACAGAAAAGAATTTCCTCCTTATATCCAATCTAAACTTCCTCTGTTTAAGTTTTAACCCGTTACCCCTTGTCCTATCACTGCAGTCCCTAATGAAGAGTCCCTCCTCAGCATCCCCATAGGCCCCCTTCAGATACTGGAAGGCTGCTATGAGGTCTCCACGCAGCCTTCTCTTCTCCAGGCTGAACAGCCCCAACTTTCTCAGCCTGTCTTCATACAGGAGGTGTTCCAGTCCCCTGATCATCCTCATGGCCCTCCTCTGGACTTGTTCCAGCAGTTCCATGTCCTTTTTATGTTGAGGACACCAGAACTGCACACAATACTCCAGGTGAGGTCTCACGAGAGCAGAGTAGAGGGGCAGGATCCTCCTTTGACCTGCTGGTCACGCTCCTTTTGATGCAGCCCAGGATACACTTGGCTTTTCAGTGAGCAAACACTGCCAGCTCATGTTAAGCTTCCCATCGAGTCACTGAAGAGCGAGCTGCAGCACTTGCTAACAAGAAGGTTCTTTAGAGTGTATGTTAGTAAACAGTATTATTCATGGTGTAACACATAAACTTTTTTCTTTTTAATCCCTTAATTACAGCATGTTATTCTAGACTGTATGATGATAAGCACAGTGTAAATGCTGCATTTGTGCCTTTCCCCACTGCAGAGCAGATGGAAGCATGCAGCTATGACAATGCAAGTAGCATTAACTGCTTATATTAACATTTTGTTCTCCCAGCACCATATGCAAATTCACTTGTATCAAGTGTAACTTAGAATCACAGAACGGTTTGGGTTGGAAGGGACCTTAAAGCTCATCCAGTTCCAAACCCCTGCTGTGGGCAGGGACACCTTTCACTAGACCAGCTTGCTCCAAGGCCCACCCACCTGGCCTTGAACACTGCCAGGGATGGGGCAGCCTCAGCTTCTCTGGGCTACCTGTGCCAGCGCCTCACCACCCTCACAGGGAAGAACTGCTTCCCAGTCCAGTATTGGATCTAAATCTCCCGTTTTCAGCCTAAAGCCATTACCCCTTGTCCTGTCACTACATGCCCTTGTTAAAAGTCCTCCAGATTTCTTGTAGGCCCCCTTTAAGTACTGGGGGCTGCTCTAAGGTCTCCCCTGAGCTTTCTTTCCTGGCTGAACAACCCTATCTCTCAGCCTGTCTCCATATGAGAGGTGATCCAGCCCTCTGAGCATCTTGGTGGCCCTCCTCTGGACTCAACCTGTTATCCTAAAAACCACTACTGCCCCACAGTTTTAAAAGCTGCACATCCAGCTTGAAGATGAGCTTATTTGTTAAGTTTTTATCTACTTAGAAGTATTTTACTTCTGTGTGTGACACATCACTTGCATGGATATTGCAGCCATGACAGATAAGACTGAAGCAGCAGCACTATCTGCATAACAGGGTAACAAAAGAAACCTACAAGTATATTAAAATGGAGTATACTGACACCTCCCAAAAGCTGATTGGCTTAAAAACATAGCTGCAACAAGGGGTGTGGAAGGCACATGGCACTGCCAACTTGGTCAAGCTTTCCTTCATACATACATCAGGCTCTTTGTAACAAAAGCTGAAGTTCTTATCTAATCATTCTAGTTAATGTTTAAAGTACATTTGGAAAGGAGACAAACAATTTTCAGGCCCTGAACAGAGAGAATGAGCTCTGTCTGGAGCCTCCTTTCATGAAGGAGATACATACCTGAGCTTTTGGATATGGAACAGAAAGGGAAGCTTACCTCTGCCCGGTGAGTGTTCCAACTACAGCCCTGTTTAAAAGTGCCCCTTTCCCATCTGTGGGCTGCCAGAAGGCACATTTTCAGCTATCTCAGTTCCCAGAAGACCACACCTGGCTGCAGGCAGCAGGGCTTCAATACTCACTGTTCAGTGTACCGACTCTTGAAGCCATTTTCAAGCAAGTGCGTTACAGACTAGAACTACAGCAGGCAAAGCAGGGATATTGGAATCCTGACAGCAGTTTTGGGCAGGCCAAGAGCCCTCACTACTTAAAGAGTACTGCAAATTTCAGTAGGAACTTGGTTTGAGAGCTAGGGCTTTAAAATCTCTTACAGGGCTTTCTCTAGTGCTGCTATTCCAAGCCCAACCTTAACTCAGCTGCTGGCACAGGCACTGCCTGTGCAATCACAAGCTGTTGCCAAACAGATGTTGACTCTGGCTTGATTGCAAGTTACATCATACCCATGGATAACAGCAACAGCAGCAAATTGGGGCAGTCTAGCATATTGGCAACCACACATTTCCTTGTGACTGCTGTGTCCATTAACATCACTCCTTACTGCAGTTTTCACTGCCAAGTCTGTCTAGTTCTGCTTATGCGAAGCAAGGCTTCCTACTACACCTCAATGCCTCTCCAGTGCTGGCACCATGCTGGCATCAGAGGAAAACTGACTTTGTAGCAAAGCGATTGTTATTTCTCAATCCTAAGGGACTACATGTGAATTCCCTTCTGTCTTCAACTGCTGCAGCATTAATAACTCCATCTATACAAGTTTTGTTCTCCACGAGACACCTCATACCTCAGGGTATCCTCCAAGCAGAAATCTATTTTGTACCTGCTGTATCAGGGAAAGAGTCATTCTGTATTTCACTAAATGAACCAGGCTCCCCTCAGGAAGATCACAAAATCAAGAGTAAGCTGTGCTATCACCATCAGAACTAAAGTAGCAGAGGTGGCAAGAAGCATGCTTTGCTTCTATGATCACATTCAGACCAATCAGAATGGGCAGCAAACCCTTAGTTTGCACTTACCGCAAGCTGCAAGATTTTGTATCAAACCATACATGTATATTACTGCATCGGGAGCAAAGTCAAGGCTCTGGTTTTAAATTAAGATTTTGCTGGTGGGAGTTTATGGAGTCTGAATTCCTTTTTCATCTTGACACTACTCTCGTTGGCCTCTTCAATTTTTGTACCTTAGGTATTTGCTGAAAGAATACGCAGCACAGCCTAAGTCATCACCCTCTTTTTTTTACACTAAAAGTTTGCCTTAATGTGACTGAACTCATTCCTGCCCTTGCAGAGAAAAAACACAGCAGCCTACACATTACTCTTTTCAAAGGCCCTACTCTTCAGTCATTCCCATATGCAGGGATGGGAGTGGAAGGCTTAATGCAACAGCAAGCTTGGAAGCAGGCCTACCACCAGCAAGTTTCAAACTGGAAGTGACACACAGCAGGAGTGCTGCATGACAAGTGCACGCAGCTCTTCAGCTTACAGAACAAGAACCACAGCTCACTTGAAAGCAACTACTTGCTATGATGCACATGACTACAGCAGTTGCCTTGCAGCTAGACAGAACAGCCACCGCCAAAGCAAATCACTTGTCTGCATGTCCTCAGACTCCCCTGTAACTCATACAGAAGCAAGGCTGAGAAGAGCAGCACCCACCATGGTGCCACATGTACACCCATACAGGAAGCAAAGCATGCCCTTTATGACACCTCAGGAAGGAAAGATGACCCATGTGAGAAGTTCCTTACCTTTTTCTGTCTTAGTAGAACACATCTGTGTTAAACCTGTGTTGAAACTCTAGGCCCATCTGTCTCACCTCAGTGCCAGCCAAGGTCATGGTGCAGACCTCCTGGAAACTATGCTAAGGCATATGGAGAGTAAGAGGGGGATTAGTGACAGCCAATATGGTTTCACCAAGGGGAAACCATACCTGACAAACTTGGTGGCCTTCTATGGTGGGATCATGGCACTGTTGGATACGGGAGGAACAACTGACCTGGATTTGTGCAAAGCATTTGACAGTCCACACAACATCCTTGTCTCCAAGTTGGAGAGACATGGATTAGATGATGGACCACTCCATGGATAAGGAATTGGCTGGATGACTGCACTCAAAGAGTTGAGGTCAACAGCATGCTGTCCAAGTGCAGATCAGTAACAAGTAATGTTTTTCTGTCCCTCAGGGGTGGGCACTGGGGCTAATTCTGTTCAACATCTTTGTCAGCAACATGGACAGTGGGATTTATGCACCTCCAGCAAGACTACCAATGACACAAGCTTTGTGGTGCGATCAACATGCTGGAGAAAGGGATGCCATCCAGAGGGAGCTCGACACAACTTGAGAGGTGGACAATGCCAACCTCATGAAGTTCAACAAGGCCAACTGCAAGGTCCTGCACCTGGGTCAGAGCACTCCCAGGCACAAATACAGGTTGGGGAGAGAATGGATTGAGAGCAGCCCCAACAAGAAAGACCTGGGGATGTTGGTTGACGAGAAGCCCAACATGAGCCAGCTGCAATGTGCACTCACAACCCAGAAACCAACCATGCACTGGGCTGCTCAACAGTGTAGCCAGCAGGTTAAAGCTGATTCTGCCCCTCTGCTCTTGTGAGACCCCACCTGCAGTCCTGCATTCAGCTCTGGGGCCCCCAACACAAGGACACAGACTTGCTTGAGCAAGTCCAGAGGAGGCCACAATGTTCAGAGAGCTGGAGCACCTCTGCTGTGGAGACAGGGCTGAGAGAGTTGGGCTTGTTCCTCCTGGAGAAGAGAAGGCTCTGGGGAAACCTTAGAGCAGCCTTCCAATACCTAAAGGGGCCTGCAAAAAAACTGAACACAGATATAGTTCTAGATTACATATTCAGAAGAAATTCTCTACTATGAGGGTGGTGAGACACTAGAACAGGTTGCCCAGAAAAGCTGTGGCTGCCCCATCCCTGGCAGTGTTCAAGGCCAGGTTAGATGGGGCTTTGAGCAACCTGGCCTAGTGGAAGGTGTCCTTGCCCATGGCAGGGGTTGGAACTGGATGATCTTTAAGGTCCTTTCCAACCCAAACCGTTCTATGATCCTATGAATGCAGTCTTCCGATGGGGTGCTAACTTATGTCCATTATGTAGGGGAGGAAAGGCTATTTCTACTTCAAAGCCTTTCATTTTTTGTTTTTCCCTGTATCAGCTCTAAACATCTGTGCATATTACATTCAAATCCTTTTCTGCCTTTGCTACCTGCCTCTAAAACAAACCCCAAAAACTCTCTGTTCTGTTGTGTTCCTTACATTACAGGCTCTTTGCTGGAAACGCTCTAACCAAGTTAAAGTTCTGTGTTAGTGTGATGTGATTGTGTAGGAATTAGGAATAAGTAACAAATGCCTTTCTATTTACACAAACACCCAAAACTGATCTATCCAGCTGAAGCACAGAAGCTTCAAACTTAAAAGAACAGGCAGACTTCTTGTTTAAGATTTTTCCTTTTTTTTTTTTTATTTGGGAAAAGTGCTTCTTACAAAAGGCAGCTGCAAAACAATACGTTATAGACCTCAGAACAATTTCTCATTCCATTTAAAAGTGAAAGGAGAGGCAGTCTAGGGGACAAGAGCAGCAGGAAAACAGATCACGGGGCATTCACAAGTCAATAAAAAACAGAGATAATGTAATGCAAGGTTAAAATTCCTGTGCCGGGACTTTGGTGGCAAAGTAATTTCTTAATGCAAATTACAGCCAGAAACTGCATGACTGCCTTTGTAAGCAGCAACACACATAAACTGAAGAGCTTTCCCAGGCAACCTGCCCGACTCAGATGCGAGAGGCACAGCGATTTCCTAGCGAAGCTCAGGGCTTAGGTGGTTACATCAGGTTCTAAAACTTACAGAGGAATAAAGCTAAAGGGGCCTCTCTGGTGTTCCTTTGAGCCCACCTTGGCTAACCGGATTTCTGCTCCTGGACAACCCTAATCATACACATGAAAGGGAGCTGGTGTATTAGGGAGTGCCATCTATTAAGTTAAGTGATAGTTAAGATCACTGCCACATTCTGGGCTGAGACCGCTAAACCAGTTTCATGTCCAACTGGAGGCTAGACTTCATGCACCAAGAAGGGATGAAAGATGGTTTTGTTACTTTTAACTTACACAGAGTCTCCCCATCCTTGAGGTCCAACTCTACAGTTATCTGTATATACACATAGAGAGTTCTCCTTTCACAATGACATTTTCCTTTCATGCTAAACACAGTAAAAACCCAGAACGTTCACACCTGGTTCTGGTTACACAGTAGTAATAGTAATGTGCAAGTAAACAAGAGACCAAAATCACAAATGAAGACGTGTACATGAGGGGGGCGGAATGGCACTGATGCCATAGAGAGAGAATTTTTGTCTGGCCTCAAGTCAGAAATATCGGTACAGAGACAGAAAAACGGCCATCAGCCAATTTACATCCCCACTGCATGGCCACTGCTCATTTTTGTATCTGGGCTCTTCAAAATGAGTGTGGAAGTCCTGTAAACACTTTAACCCTGGAACTGGGTGAACTCTGTTGGGTACACATATGAAGCAACAAACCTAAGCTAACTGTTTGACAGTTAAATTCATTTTTACAAAAACTAACATTTTAAAGATTTATTTCTTGTTATTTGTTTAAACAGAGGAAAAACAACACTCCTGGGGTGGGAGGGGATGGGAAGAGACAGACCCTGGGTAAAAGTTATTACAACAGCACCTGGAATTGATCGGCCTGCCTAGGAGAAACACAGGCACTGCCACAACACCACAGGTAATAGCTACTGCCTGAAGCCAAGACAACAGTCCACACTCCACTGACAGGTGCTATAGATCCAAATCATAATAATCTTCCAGCTCATCATGAAACAAGTCCCACTCGTCCTCGGAATCTGTTAGCTCATCATCACCTCCTGCTGCCAACAGCATAAGCAACATCTCACCAAGCTCAAAGGTCACCACCTCATCCTCATCGGTCTCGAACGGATCACCGTTCTCTCGCTCCTCAATGAACTCCCAGAAGCGATTCCTTCGCTGGGCCTGCAAGTGGAACACAAGGATTTCCCTGGGTGACCAAGTGGCACAAGGCATGACTCTTCTCAGAGGCTGACATGGTTCAGCCCATGGCATACTCTGACATAGAAGAAGCCATGTTACTCTTTCAGGGAGACACTGGCCTTCAGCAGAATTTAACCCTTAGACACCCATATTAATGCCACCCAACATTTCTACTTCAGTATGTTGGTGTACTAGGAATGTTGTTAAAACCTACGCTTTCTATCTTAGCCTCCAGCATTCACATTCTTTAGACCACCTCCTTTAAATTCACCATCAGAGATGTCTATCAGAAGAATAACAAAACCACCATCAAATCCAAAACCCAAACCCAAAAGTCAACATCTCTCTGTCCTCTTGTCAACGCAGCCAATTTATCGCTCACTCCTCTTGTGCACTGTCTAGAAAGAATTAAAACCAGCAGCACTGACCCGGAATCTACTTGACGTTCCCACTTTGGGTCTCTGTGGCTCCTCTCGTCGGCCATCAGGGTACGCATGCTTGTAAAAACAGTTTCCTCCAAAAGGACAGCTCCCACGGCCTTCATCAAAATACCTGCATGGCTTGTTGCTGGAAAGGAAAATACCACAACCCTTACTCACAGCAGACCCCAGCCAGACTTCAGAACTGCATTTACCTGTAGTCTAAAAGAATCTCAGATACCCTTTGGAGCTGAAGGTATTTTATTAGTCTAACACCTCTATGCAGAAGTGATGCATTGCACAGTGTGCGTGAGTTGGTGCATGCGTATGGCACTGATGGCTCGCAGTGCACAGGCTCATGCTACCATACGGCTACACCACCAGTGTCTTGCATATAGAAGGGAAAGACTGAGGTCAAAGACCATAGGAAGAGCTCTGCAACTGTGTGTTTGCGTGCACCTGTGGGCAGACAGGCAAGGACGCACTTCATGCATGGTGGTGGAAAGGAGGTGTGGTGAGAGGGCTTTACATCAGTACCCTTCTTGGTTATGTGTGCCTTTATCTCTGCAGTCTCAACCTGACAGAAGGCTGCAGTGTTCATACCTCATTGCCTCCTTGTATTTCTGAATGAGTTTCTGCTTCTCTTCCTTCTCTTCCACCCAGTACTCACTTGGAATGACAAAGTTAGATGTGATCCGACATTCTGGGCAGGACCTGGGGAATGAACAGACTGTGCTACAAAATTCCACATGGCAGGGCACTCTCCCCTATGTAACAAGTCATGGCATATTTCCATCTCTAAAGATGTACTGTACCCACACACTTCCTGTATGAGCTTTTTAATCTAGATTCTCTTACACATGAAGAATAACTAAACTCTCAAGAGTTATGGCGATAGCAGCTGGTCAGCTTGCCTCAGAAAAGCTTGAAAAAACACTTCACACAGACTCCTTTTTCCTTAGAATTAAATACGTTCATTTTGCCTTGATTTTTGTATTCGGTTGGAACTTTGCATTTTTAGAACAGCCTTTAAGGGGAGAAATGTTTGGTCAATTGATTAATGAACTAGGGCAGTAATTAATTAAGAAGCATACATTCTGAACTGCCTAATCTGTTTTCAAATTCCTGGCCAGGTGTCCAAACAGTAACCACTGAACAATATGCTACTAAATAAGTGCAAGTTTTCTACTATTAAGTGAGTTTTGCCAAATTAATCCAAATTAACCAAATCAAGAATGTGAATGTTATCCCTAACAATTATTTAGCTTCCAAACGAAAGTTAGTATGCATTAAACGCAGTCTCTGTGCAGCCTGCACCTGGAAGTCTGCTGCAAATTGACAGGAGTTACTAAGTTCTTCCATAGTAACAAAGCACAACTGAAATGGGAAAGTGCCTCACTTTATAATCTTGCTCTCAAATTGCTTAGCACTCCTCCACTTGCGGATGCACTTCAGACAGTAAGCGTGGCTGCAGTTGGAGAGGATCCCAAAGCGGCGCTCACTCGGATTAGCTTTCTCATACACCACCTCCATGCATATCCCGCACACCATGTCTTTACTACGCTGGACGGCAAAAGAGAGCTCCATGTCCTTCTCATGAGCTTCAATGCAAGACTGAAAAGGAGACACAAAGGAAACGACTACAGAGACAACTGGCCGCCTAGTGAATTCTAAGCGGGTTTTAAAGCTAAGGTTTACTCTCCTGTCCTGCATAATGAATGGAGTATGATTAAACTGTAAAATCTTGATCCTAAAAAATCTGCTCAGATAGTGGAAATAAATTCAGAATCCAAATTCTTTTCTTCAGCCATTGCTTTTAAACATGAAAAAGGCAATTCAAGAGACCATCCAGTTTTACTAGGCAAGGAATAAAGCTTTAGTATCTTTAAGCAGACTGCTCTCCCAGCACAGATAAGGAAACCCAGCTGCTTTGGAGTATGGCCCTGACAGGAAACGGTCCAGTTTACAACAGGAATTTCATTCATTGCCTGACCTGCCTGAACTCCCAAATGAAAGGGTAGTAGTAACAAGTGATTGTGGGGAGCTAGGAAGCAATAACACAAAGCTGTTTAACACCAGACAGTTGCTTGCTTACCTTTATGTGCTCAGATCTCTGCGCAGCATCAACTGGATGCAGGACCTGCAGGCCACACATATCACACACATCCCCATGGATATACACACAGTTTTCTCCATAACGACATTCTCCTACTGCAGCGTAGGGGCACAGCTCCTTCTTTATCTCCACGTCTTCATGCTGCTTTTCATACTCCTCCTCAATCACCAATTCCTGCAAGGGTGCTTCAGCACAGGAAGGAGTGGCTAGGAACAAAGTGAAGTACAGTAAGCAATACCTTCAGATTAAGAGCACATGGAGTGAGTATACATTGTTTTAATGCAACGTAATCTTTGGGTAGCCCTGCTCAAGTTATCCAGAGAGAATAACAGAACCAAGGTTCATTTCAGCCCAAGTTTCACACACCCTTAACCTGAACCAGCGGTCATTTCCCACTCTAGAAAGCACTACCATTTGCTTCCTCCTTTGACCCAAACAAGACTAAAGCTAACATTTCAGTGGTCAGATTCAAACCCATTTACAGGCTAACACAGCAGAACAAAAACCTCACTAATCCTCAGCAGCTTAAAAACACTTTTAATACAAACTCCAATTCAGCAACAATTAAATAAGGTTACAAATCTTTCACTGCTTTGAGAACCAATTTCATATCTGCTAAAATTAAAGAGGCTTTTCCCCAGAAATGACACAGCAATGAACATGTATCCAGCTGGTGTACACTGGTATGGAAACACCACACTAGCACTTCCTTATGTACAGGTGAATTATCACTTGTTCAGCCTGAACCACAAGGCTGTCACTCTTCTAGACTCCCATGGATCTCTGAGAGCAATATTAAAAGCTGTGTCCACACCTCTCAAGGTAACTATTCTAGGTGTTTGCCAAAAAGCTTACCCTAAACAGATATCCAGTCTACCAGACAAAACATGTAAACCTAGTTTTAAGAAACCGAAATGCATCAGGGTATTTTCAGGGCATTCTCAGCTAGCCATTAGTTTTGCAAAATCCTAAGTAAATTCCCTTACTATGTTTTAAATTGAACTGAAATCTGTATTGTTTCTCTTCCTCATTTAGACAGCTGCTGCTTAATACTTCTCCCTGTACCTCCAGAACATATGGCTGTTTATGTCACCAGAAGCCAAACAGCATTTTTAGATCATTACATAAGTTACAAGACAAAAGCAACGAGTTTGAAATTGAAGATATAATAAACACAGAGCAACAAAGCATTGCTATATTCAGGATAAACACCAGAAAGAGCAGCAGCTGGGCTTCATTTACATAACCAATAGCTGTTAGAAGAATTAAAAAAAAAATCTGTAAGAGATTGTAACTTCTGTAAATTACAATTCATTTAAGTTTTTCATCCATAAATTATAATCCATTTGAGTACTAGATTTGGAGAAGTAAGCAAAACTACCAAAGGCATAGTTAGACCAGTAAAAGTAAAGGATTCTGATCTCAAAAAGTATCAGAGGCCACACACTCAGAGTTTTCATCCCCACGGAGCAGGGAGATACAATAAGCATGTATCAGTCCATTTGCTTTTGGACATAGAAAAAGCAGGTCCCAGAGAGCTCACACTTTCAGAGCATAAGTAAATACTGTAGTGTAGGAAAATACTAGCTCCCAAAATAAGCGCAAGTCTGCTTCTTGAACTATCTCTGACCTTAAAGGTCACTTGCACTGATCTTGGATCAGTCTGTTTGCTAGAACAAAGCGAGTGACAGAATAACAGGTCAACAACTGTCAACCTGATCATTTTTTCAGTATGAGATTCCCAACAAAGAGTTCTTCGTTAGCGTTTCTTCCCCATGAGTTCTAGTGAACTGACACCAAGGAAAGTAACGAGTAGCCATACACTAGGCCCTACCCACTCTCCTGTAATAGCTGAATATGATATGAAAATTTGTACTTATTAACTGAAATCCTGCCCACCCCCCTCCCAGTTTGAAATCCACTTCCAAAAGTAACAAAAATCACAACGACCAGTCAGTTTCTGTTCCCTCAACTGCCAATTTTGCTAGTGTTTTTTCTAATTGATGTTAGAGATTTTTCTTACTTAATTGATTCACAGGACTCCTGACATCTAGTTTGACTGTTACTGAGGAAAAAGAGTTTAGCAGGGCATAGTATGGATGAGCAGAAGCCCATTAAACAGACAAATGCACCCAAATTTCAAAGGAATTGAGTGATACAGTACTTTAAACAGGGATGGCAAGATCGTCTTTGCTTAAGGCCATCCCCTATTCCCCTGGAAAATGCATACTTTGAAGAGGCACATATGAAGCTCCTCTTAAAAGAAGAAAACTTTCCAATCACCTGCACCCCTCTCAAAGATACCTTTTGTAAAAACTTTATTCAGTAAGGATTTAATTCATTAAAACCAAAACGAAACCCCACTTACTACCTGAGGTTCTTTGAGAATAAAGGCTTTGAAGTCTTACCCCCCCAGAGACTGACTTAGAAACCCATTTATTTACTATGCTGGTCCACAGAGCAGAGCTTCATATCTTGGCACAAAAGTAAAAGTATAGTGTTGTTACTTGAAACAAACCAACCAACAACTATTGAAGTCAATAAGCACATTACACAGTACAATTACTAAATTCCAGCCCAGTCCACAACACCATCCTTGCACAAAAAACAGAAACCAGTTCTTAGTGACCAGACACCCAAACAACATGATACAGATGTACAAATATCAGTCTTCAACAATGGCTCAGGGAACTTCCACAGTACAAGGATGGGAAAGGAAAACGCATGCTTAAAGTAACATTAGTTTTCCAGTCCCAGTCTTCTGTGCTGTCCCAGCACTTCCCCTCAGTGACAGTTGTATTTCTATAAAATAAAATTCAAATTAGTATTTCCACTTCTGAGTATCTCAGCTTCCATAACCTAAAGTCCTGCATGCATATTTTGTGGACCTACTGCAATGTATCTGCTAGTTTTGCTTCCTCTTTGAAAGCAAATTAGAGAAACTCACAAGACTCCACTGGCTCAGTAGTTCTGCATCCAGTATCCCTCATTTACAACACTTACTCTAAAATTCTCCTGCTGTTTCCAAAACCACTACTCTCCAGTAGGTGGACCCAATCCCCACCTTCTCACTGCCGATTTCAGAGTTAACAGGGTTAAATTCCTGCTAGTGAAAAAAACCCTAGTCCATAAGCTTCAACTCAAGCACCACCTGTTCTCACTCTAGGACATACTTTGCAGCATCAAATACATTCATCTTGTAGCACAAGGAAACAGCCATCCAATTCAAGGTGTTTCTTGCATTTTTGCCTATCTACTCTCCCTCAACTATTCCAGAACATCTAGCAGCAGTAGCAGCAGAGCAAATACGGAAATGTGGCATATCTGTACATCAAACTAGTATCTTATGAATCATTTGTTTTCTTTGCTAGGCCTCGAGGTAATCTTCAAGATATCAAGTTTAGTCCCAAATCAGAGAATCACCTGCATTAGCAGAATGTCTCCTCTCATAGTAAAAGATAAGCATTATAGCCCTAGCATCACACAATTAAACCGGCAACCCCAAATCTTCAGCATTTATAAGACAACTTAAAACACACAGGCTTCTAACTTACCTTGAGAAAGAGGTTTCGTTTTAAGGCTTCCAAGTACCTGTACATTTCCCCAGGCATTTGACAAGAATCTGTAAGGCTTTAAAGTACTCACTGTAGAAGACACTGCACACATCCTCCTGATCACTACAGTAAGGTGTTTTATCTTTATAGCTTAATAAAGACAGTGGCTTCAGAAAAGTAAAGTTTTTAAAACGCAGCTTTTAAGAAGTCTCTAAAAGAATTAGCATTATCTAGCACAGTTCTGAGCAGAAACAGCTGAGTATGTCTGTACCTTAAAATACAACAAATTTCAAAGGATACAAAACAGAATATGAACAAGATTCAAAGAGAATGCTATCTAACAATCTGTGGCAGTCACATGAAAAATAAGCCTGACACCCTAGAAAAAAGGAACTGCTTCAGTAAAACTGAGTTAAAGGTATAATGAAACAGCACTTATGCTTCAGGAATTTAAGAGAAAGCACCAGCCCTCCTGTAAGTAGTAGGTGTATTTAACAGATCTCCAGATGTTTAAATTAGCACTGAATTAACTCCAGTGGAGGGCCACCTAGCCATTAAGGGGGTGAAACCCATGAAAAGAGACTGAGGAAACTAGACTTGTTCATCTTTAACAAGTGATCTTATTGCTATCTTCAACTACTTAATGGAAAGGGAAAGGGAGTAACAAAAAAGAAAAAAAAAACAAACATACCACCAAAATCCCACAGGGCCAGATTCTTCTCAGATGCGCACAGGTCAAGAGACAGAAGGCAAGCTGAGGCAGGGAAAAATCCAATTACATACTAAGAAAGAGTTCTTCCTTGTGAAAGAAGTCAAACACTGCAAAGGTTGCCCAGAGATTATAGCATTTTGAACATCTCTGAGGATAGAGATTCAACCAAACAAAGCCCCTGCCAACCTGACATAGCTGACCCTGCTTTGAGCAGAAAAATTAATTATATGAAATCCAGAGGTCCCTTCCAACCTGAATTATTCTATTCTGATTGAATGATTACAAAAAAAAAGGATGTGCTTTGTCTCAATGAACACAGAAGGTGTATCTTTTATGACAGTAATGTGACACATTAACAGGTAGCAGACATGTTTTCATCCCTTTGGACTATACCCAAGTCACAGATACACCAAATTATTCCACAATCAAACAACTCAACAGCACTATAAAAATGATAATGTTGCTCAACCATTCCTTTCCTCTTCCGCAAATCAGATGAGAACAGGGTCCACCAGCACTCTAACACTGATAAGGTAATTCTCTTTTCTGATCTGAGAATGTGAGCAGTGCTGTGGAGGCAAGAATAATCTGAGCACTGCATGACAACTTCAAACTCTTCTGGACACAAGACGTATTCTGCACTCAAACAATTATTTGCGTACTCATGGCCATAAGCCTTCAGTTTTAGAGAACCAGACACTAGTGATTATGCCAAAGTAAACATCTTCAGCCTGCTTTTCATTTAGATTTTAAGTCTTTGTGATTTCTTTATGCAGGGAAAGCAGATAAGCATGCTACTTGAACACTCTGGTCTCATATGATGAGCTGCTTCGATCTCATTCCAAAGACAACCTGCCACAGTATTAGGCAGGCATGTCTCAGAAAGGTAACTAGAATAAACGATGTCTGGTCTGAACTGCCATCGGATTCATGAAAGCAAGCATTAGGCTTCAATTCATTCTACAGGAATCTGTATCTCCACTGGAAAATGTTTAAAAGACTGAAAAAATCCCCAAGCAAAACCCAACCCCAAAACAAACCAACCTCCCAAAAACCAAAAGCGGCAAATTATCTTTTCAAAGTAGTGATAGTAATAGCAGCACCAGTATTTTCTTCTCCCATTACATATACACATTAAACTCCAAAGAAGAGATCCATCCAACTATGCACATCAAAAAATTCAAGCATATGTGAAGGACTTATTCCTTGAAGTGATTAATAAATACGTATAGCTGTACTCAAAAGCTCCAAAATGCACTACATAAAAACTGCTGACCCATGACAGAAATTTACTGTTATCCCTTGCTCAGCTTACCACGTCCACAGTATGGCTGCCCAGGGACAAATTCTACAGCATTCACCCAGTCTTCAGCACCTACTCCTGCAGCTGCCAGATCTGCACTTTCATCTTCTATCTCAGCAAGTATTTCTTCAACTGTTTCCGGGAGTGATGCATAGTCTGAGGATACCGAGGGATAAATTTTTTCATCTGGATCCACATCAGTCTCTTCTTCTTCCTCCTCTTTCAGTGGCTTGGTATGTTCATATCTGAAATGTTGAAACACATCATATCAACTCTTTACCAAAAGAAAAAAAAAAACAAAAAAACCCACTCCAAAACCCCAGAAAACTTCCATAAAACAGCCCAAGGTATGTGAAAGAAACTGAGTGATTAGATATAAACACACTATTTGGAAGGAGAGCCTAGGGTTGGAGGAAATAGCCACTGATGACCCTTTATAGAGACATGCTTCCACCTGTGTAATCTGGCAGCACTGCTTAAGGAAACGGCAGGTATTGTCATCATTTTGGAGGAAATGGTACAGCATGCACAATTCTTACTTAACTCACAGACTGAACTTCTATAAGAACTCCAAAACCACTCACATACCTATTATGCATGTGTAGTATAAATAATAATTTACCTGAATGAGATAAGTTAGTTCATTCAGCCTTAAAAACCACAGAAGACTATGGGCAGACCCTGCTGTCTCAGACTACCTCATGGGAAGCCAAAGGAAAGATGCAGCCAGAATCTTCTCAAGAGGTTCAGTGACAGGATGCCAGTCAGTAGACAGAAGCCCAAAACAGGAAGTTTCATTTAGGTATTAGGAAAAAGCAATCATGGTGAGAGTAAACACTGGAACGGGTGCCCAGAGAAGCTGCAAGATCCTGATCTTCACAGATAATCCAAACAGGACTGAACAATGCCTTGGGCACCCTGACCTAAAATGGCTTTGCCTTCAGCACAACTCCAGAGATCCCCCACAAGCCTAAATTATTCTTTTTCTGTATTTACGCATCTTACCTCATTCAGATTTTACAATGGATTTTAGTAGTTATTTCTAATGTCTCTTTGAATTCACTGTGAAAAAGGATTCTCACTTTGATCCCTACCACCCACAAACAACAGGAAAGCGCAGTTTCACTCAAAAAAATCTGTCTTCCAGCATCTAGTACATTACATGGGAAAATAAATTCCAGGTGTACCCCCACATGTCAAAGAGGCTGGATGATCTTTAAGGTCCCTTTTGATCCTAACCATTCTATGAATCTATGATTTGCTACCTAATTCCAAGTACAAAGGGAGGGAATTTCTTAGGATCATACAGAACTTTTTAGCAACTGTGATTCATTTATTTTGTATCAGATTGAAAACAACTAAGTGTCACAGCTCTTGCTTATTAAAGAGATGCCTCCAACCAAATGTCAGCTTTGAAATCCTAAGGAAGCTATGAAGCACAAACTTAAACTTCAGGTCTTCATACCTCTACCATCAGTGGCCTCCAAAATGAGGTAAGCAGGACAACCCACTTGGGGGCAGGAATAAAATACTAGAACTTCTTGTCTTCCCCCTCCCCTACCCCCTAAAAAATAAGAAATTAAGTTTTACTAACATTTAACATCCCGATTGACAGCAGTGTCCTCACTCACAATTACCAAGAGATTTACAATCTAAACACTCAGAACATGAAGACAAACCTCTACAATTTTTTCAGCTATTTTAAGTCACATGATATTCAACCCAGTACTTAAAAGAGGCTTCTAGACATCTATTGTGAAGTTCTGCACAGACTTCGTGTGCAATAGTGAAAGACAAAAGGCTACACATACCATCAGACCACTTGTTCTTCCTGCTGTGGTAAAAATGACTGAAATAACGCATGGAAAAACAATGGTAACAAAGTAAAACACATTCCTTTGTCAGCAAGTACTGCTGGGAAATACACTGAAAACACTGCTGAAGACTCAAAGAAACAAGTATTAGAACAAATTTCACAGTGTGGGCAGATTGTTGTACAGCTGGATGAAAGTAAAGATGTTTCTAACATGTCTCATCTTACAATGTCTGCTAGATTCTGTTTCAACAATGAAATACACAAAGGACTATTTCTTGTGATTCACTAAAGAAAAGATGGACCAGAAGAGAAATATTCTCAATAAATTGCTTCTTCATTAAAGACAGAAAGATGGACTGGAGAAGGTATCTTCTCAACAGTAAAGGGCTTCTTTAATAAAAACAAAGTTTTATGGAAAAAACTGTGCCCTGAAGGAGTCCCTGCCTTGACTAGACTGAAAAAAAAGAGGATTCCAGGGTAAGGTTACAGAGACAGCACCATACCAGGAATTCATTCACTGCATCATTCATAGGCAAGATATTGTAGCGAAGATGAAGCCAGAAGGACACCAAGTGCTACAGAATGTCATTAACATGGTTAATTTTATAAGAACAAGACCTTTCAATAGTTGAATCTTTACAACACTTTGTTATGAGATAAAGAACCACCATGAAAATCTGCACCACACAGAGGCCTGCTGGCTATCTTGTACCAAACAGTTTAACAGTTGGCAAATATGAGTTATGCATTTTTCTTTCACAAAAAGATGAGTGCTCCAAATTTGCTGACCACTTCCATGGTAAGAAGTGGATATCACCAGTACATTGTCTAGCAGGTGTTTTCAAAAACCCACACACATGCAATCTTCCCCTTTCAGGTAAGGCATTTTAAGAACAAGCAACTGCTTTTTGAAGGAAACTTGTGGCATGGAGGTAACATTTTGAAAATAACTGTTCTGAAACCCTTCCACCATTATATGACTTGGTTGCCAAAACCAACACCAGTGTGTCAACTATAAAAAAAAACCTCTATCCTGTACACTTAGACCTGGAAACAGATTTCCCTAACCTGTTTTAAGAGCCTTCCACACAAAGGTTTTGGACCCATTTCTTAAGAACATAAAATGCCACACCTTCCAACTGGAAGGTAAGAAGAGCTGACTGACATGGACATTTATTAGCCAAATTTTAACAAAAAGCTTTGCATGACTGGTGTACAGGATGGAAAAATTATTATCATGCATTACTAAGTGCAGCCAAAAATACAATTCTTCCTTTTGGATCTACAACTCTTTGTGAAAGATCTTTTTCACCTACGACAGCCATTAAAACTGAATTTAGAACAAGACTTTCAAATCACTGTGTTAAAAAATGTTAAACTAAGATTTAAAAACAAAAACAAACAAAAAAAACAACCAAAAAAACACCCAAAGCATATTCTATCAACATTACTGTTAGTAAAAAACCTATTATTACTAATAAGGCTTTTAGTGAGAGCAAAAATGGTTTGGAGAACTAGATGATCTTGAAGGTCCCTTCCAACTCTAATCGTTCTATGATTCTATGCATAAAGTATTGTTTATTTCATCTTTATTACATCCTTTTTTAAATTCTGATTTTGTGTATGTTTTATAATGTACATAATGTATTAGTACAGCAAAGTATAAATAAACATATTTATATATATTAGGGGTGTGCTCAAAGGTTTTCACTGATGGGGTGTGTGTTGAAAAGTTTGAAGACCACTGATCTACATGATCAAGAAAGCAATACTGGCAGATAAAAGCCAGAGATGCTTATTTTTGTTACCTTTCTTTTATGTGGTAACCATGTATTAAACATGAAAGGAAAACTAACTATGAACTACCGTATGGAGTCATGATGCAAATATTTAATCATGCATTAAAGCTGCAACAGGACAGAATGTCAAAACTCATGATAAATTTTAATAGTAAACTTAAGATGATGTAAACAGCCCTAAGCCTTTGTAAGGCACCTGGTTCCTTTCTTCACACTTTTTTAGTTTCTAATAATGTCAGTGGTATAAGTTAAATAATACTACGTTTTCATAATGTAATGCCATTTTGTACAGGCAACATTTTACAACCTACCATCACAACATTCTAGTTATTTTTCCAAAATGGCAGTTCAAGTGCCAGGGTAGCAATCCATGAAGACACCACACATAATTATAAAACAAAAAAATTCTTACCTGTTCAGGCTTTTATGATCACGTACCAAATGTAACTTAGTTCCATCAGTTCAGCTAGTCTGAATGTAGTCTCAGTTTCAATTAATTCATCTACTGATGTTATTAACAAACATCGTGAAAACTAGCACTTTTAATAAAAACAGTTCTTGCCTTGCCTTTGCTTTTTTTTTGTTTACACAGCAATGCAAACACTGTGGTATACAGCAAGAGAAGGCAGTTTGTGACAAGCTATTTCTATAAATTTCTGAAGTTGCAATGAACAATGAAAACGCTGCAAGATCTATTGCCTTTGTGTGAGCTCTACTCAGGAAGGAGTGAAATTACTCCCCTACGTGACAGTCAACAATATTCCTTTACCTGCAGAGATCTCCGTAAGCACAGCATCCTCGCTGATAATACCTGCACACCATGGCAGACTGACTAGTGGAGAGGTCATGGGAGTAGCGGCAGTTGTCTCCTTCCTTGCAGACTCCATGCATGAAATATCTGCAAAACAGAAAGAAGATCATTGTGAATTAAGGAGAAACACTGAAGCTGTAAAACTATTTGGATGATTAGCTATTTTATAAATCAAGATATGCTGAATTAAGACCACCACTAATGATGCATGGGACCACATTCCAGTATAAACATACAAACAAGAACACCTGAGAAAAGATCAAGCCATAGCTATTCCATTGAACTGCATGGTACCTTTAGGGACTTAAGGCTTACGAAAGCCTGAAAACCTTATCCTGGGCTATGACACAAAGAGGAAAGAGTCTTAGACAAAGCAGATGGGGACAAAGTGTTTTACTTGCAGCTCCTGTGTTCCAACACCAACAAAAGCCTTAGAGAAGCCCACCACTGAATCTAAGAACCAGAATTAGCCATACCTAACCAAGTTTCTTGAGGGCTTCCAACTATTTTGTATTTGTAAATAATTAAATCAGAATTTCCTCCCCAGGAATTCAAAACATGTTTGTGATGAATAATTACATCTGCTAAAACCAGAAACATTAGTTTTTGCCATAAGCACCAAATAATCAGTAGAAATACGCTGCTGCTTGTCTTGAAAGACTTGTACCATTTCAAAGCTGTTGAGGACATTTACTAAATTTTAACATCAAGTTATGCAAGTTTAATTGAGCATCCTCAAATTTAGCTACAAAAGAAAACTGAGCAGTCATTTTCAATTTGTTTTAAATTAACCTAGAAGACAGGAGTTTCTTTAAATTCAAGGCATTCTAACTATTCAGACTCAGTATGTTTACAGCAAAACCACAACCGAAAATAGAAGATTAAGTACATCTTTCCCAAAGAAGTCTTAGCTAAGGAAAAAAAAAAAAAAAGAAAAAAAAAAAGAAAACCCCAAACCTACCTAAGGATTGAAGCAACCAAAATGTTTACCAACACTTAAGTTTAGAAAGAGAAGCATAGGCCCCAGATACCTGGTAAGCAAGAAAATCTTTCAGGGTTCAGGTCTCACACAAAACACCACTTGAGGGAGGACTAAGAATTATACCCTTCTAAGCCCATCTTGCTACTGGAAGCGGCAGTCCTGCCCTCCTCCTGTGGCACACTTCCACTGCTCAGTGTTGGTGTTGCCACATCTAGGCAGGTAGCTGAACCAGGTCCTCCAACCTGCTGACTGCACAACCCAGCAGCAGTACAGCCAGCACATAAGACAGAAGAACCATCTTTCAGCAGCCCAAACTAAGACTAGGATAGCTCTTCACAAAGCAACACATTCAAGTTAATATTCCTAAACTTCAAAGGTGTCAAGTTGTCAAACTGAGTGAAATTCTACACATGTTCTTGGTCTACATTTTTAAGAAGTCAGATAAATCAAAGTGACCAATTCACCAAAATGACATGATCCAGTACTACAGAAATATTAAAACCTGAGGTGGGTTTTAAGAGGGCTGATAAGCCCCCAAGCACAAAACCAGTGGTATATTCCAGGTACTATGAACAAAAAAAAATCTGAAGTGGTTTTATAAACCACCAGCTGACACTTTGCCATCAGGCTGCAAGTCACATTGAGAACAATCCCTGTTTGTACACTGTAGCCATATAGTAACCAGATAAGAAATTGGTCCTACGTTCTGTGATAAGTGGTATTAAGACCAAGATGAAGCTCTTTCAGGATATTCTCCCCAGAGAGAGGAGTACCCTGGTCAGATTTGACAGGTGGCTGCACAAACAGCCAAGTCAGCACACACCAGGAATAGGGTGTTCCTGAAACAAAACAAACACCCCATCCCCCATAACCAGTACCCTCCTCTGTGAATGCTGGGGGGGAGGGCCGGGGAGCCCCCCAGAAAGTCCACCACCCACACACCCAACACAACACCAGAACCCACCCACAAACCAACCCACTTCAAAGTCAAAAAATACCAACCCATGAACTTGTGGAACCAGAACGTAACTGGAATTTCTGGCTTGCTTGTAAGAAATGGGAGTCAAACCACTAGGGTACAGAGTACGTTGTTAAATGTTTGCTCTTTAACAACTTTTATCTCCACCCTTTGCTTATTTCCACACACCACTGCTTCCCCCATGTGTTGGGGCATGCAATTTCACAGCCACCTGCTTGCTCAGATCGGGGAAATGGCTTCACATATAACCTGGCATTCCTTTTGCTGCCCCCATGCTTATTTTTAATCTACCTCAGATCACTGCTCAGCCCCACAGTACAGCCACACTCCTCTTCAAGCCAATCAAGTGCTGGGGCACTGCTATGGCTTAAGTGACTAAGAAAGGAACCAGCTTCAAGTGAGGACTTCTTGGTCAACATAATACACAAGCCTCAAAATTAGTCTCTCCTGCTGCTTGCAAGTGGACATGGAGTTCCTTTCCTTCTTTCCCTGCTTATGTTAGAAAATTGCCTGGAAATACAAATTCTGTGTAATTCTGAAAGCTGTCGCAGTAAATACGGTAGGCTGTAATAAGGAAAAACCAAAAAATTTAACCAAGCCTGAAACACAAGCTCAATTTAATTCAAACATTGTTTTTAAAGGCCTGCAATCCCACACAGCAAGCTCAGCATCATTTGAACAAGAAGGCTGGGGTGGGAGGAGAAAGAAATGTATTTCTGTAAGGATTATACCAACTCCCCCTTCCTCAAGGTAAGATCTCTTACTTTAAAACCACAAAGCATTTAACATTTTATAGATGAAATTACAGTGTTTGGCGAAAACATGATTTGGTCATGTCAAAAAATAAACAGAGTGCATTATTTTTGGTGAAAGGTAACAAAAATTCTGCTGAAGAGCACTTTCACACACACACGAGTGTTCAGTTTAACTGTATCTTTACACAACAGCAATACCAGCTGCCTCTAGCTTTTGATTACAAGAAAAAAGGATCCCTAAATCTGAGAAATACGTAAGTTATCTGCCTCACTCCAAGACATATATACTTGAAACTTGCATTCTGTCAAGTACTCAGAGAATACATATAATTTTATTTGAAACAGTAAAACTAGATCAAAATAAGTATATAACCGGATTTCCTCTGAGTATCTGTGATGCTGACTGCAGTGCTCCTTGTCTCTCCTATTCAACTGCAGTATCATCACTTGGTAAGGCTGCATAGGGAACCATACCAGAGAACTCATCACAGTCCAAACTCAGATCATCTCCCCCAGTTCAGTGCACTGCATGAATGTATAAAATACAAGTGATACCAACACAGGGAACAGCCACCCAGAAGTAATAATAGTCCCCACTGGCATTTTATCACATGAAAACTTTTCAACTCATGTCAAGTTATGGATACCTTGATCAGAACAGCATGTCCGGATTGTCACGGTGTACTTTGAAAAGGTCACAGAACTCAGGCTTTGAACGTCCAGCAGACTGAAGCTGTAGACAATATCTGGCGGGGATTTTTTTGGAAATATATTGAGAAAACACTTGTCCAAAGCCATAAAGCTAATCATAAACTCCCTGGAACTGCAACCACTGCAGAGAGAGGTCACATATTACAAGCTCTATAATTTACTAGAGTGCTTAAAACTCTTAAGTTTATCCAGGTTTCAACAACCTTGATTTACATGATGTTTTGAAGTATAATAAACTCATGAAGATTTGCTGGTTTGTTTTTTTTTAAACACACTGCTAGAACAGTATTACTTCTACCACTTGCCATAAACCAGAGAAAAGAATCTGCAATGCCTTTACAAAGACAATGCAGTGTTAAACTCGTATAACTGCAGTCTAAAATCCTGAATGGGTACCAGCTTATTTCAGATGCTTCATTCCATACAGAGTCATTATCCCTGTGACCTTATCAGTGACATCTGTATGTGATACTCCTTTGGAAGCTTGAAATGGGTTTACTTATTCAGATGTAACTTTACTGCACATCCACTTAATGGGTAGCCCCATTTTGTTTATTAAACTACTGGTTTTGCTGAATTAGAGTGTTACACCTGGCAACAGATCTCCTTCAAAAATTGAGAGGCTGCCATGACTGGGCAGAATAACAGTCAACTGCAGCCATTAGCTTCTTCAGGTGTCATACAGAGACTGAGAACTCCCAGGGAAGAAGGTAGCGGGGAAGAGGCCAGGCACTCAGTTCTAGCACAGCACGCGGGCATGCAGCCACGTGAGTAGCTGTTGAAATTCTACCCGAGTTAGTAACCTTAACAAAAAGGAGAAGAAAAAAAAAACAACCCCAAACAAGTAGGTCTTAATAGCATTTATCTCCTTGTCCCTTCTTCTCCATGACCTCCTTTAGCAAGAAGCTATTGGGGGATCCAGAACAGAGCAGCTAAGGGGCAATACAAGCAAGCTGTTAACTGGTTTGCATTCCACACCTTATCACTAATGGTGCACTGAATTAGGGAGACATACTTTACTGATTCAGACTCTTCATATTAAAAGACAGATAAATATCTGATCTAACTTTCCAGAAAGAACACCAAAGACAGAAATAGGAAGACAACTCTCAAAATATACTGATTAGTTGCTAAGGGGTTTAATTATGCTCAGTTATTAAACAAGTGAAATGTAATCTCTTTATGTCAACTTGATGACCTTAACTATTACTGCATGACACCTGGAAAACAGAAGTACCTGGACCTCTAACAGTGTCAAGTGTTTGGAAAAAGCTGGCTATACCAATGCTCAATAAAACTATGTAACCACATGAAACTGGAAGGACAGACAAACTTGGTAAGGCCTACCACTTTCTTATTTCAAAAATTTCATACCAATAACATAGTAAAAGAATATCAATAAAAAGTAGTTCTAAATTAGTTTTAGTCCCCTATGGTTTATTCCAGATTAAAGTATTAAAGGTTATTACACATCATAAAACCCAAGGATATTGGCTTTTAATGTATTCCAAGGATACCACACTAGCATGATAAAACTCTTTAGCCAATCCATTTATCCTATCAGGTATTCAAAGGAGCAGGAAGAACTTAATTCTACCCATTCTAAAACTTCCAGTTCTGACAGAACAGAAGTATTCCTTCACTACCACCATGAAGTGGTAAGTCCTTATGCAGAAGGGACTACTATCTCCCAGAAGCTTACCAGGCAGCATTTTCTGTCACCCGTATGATTATTTAACTAAATAAAGCCTATAAGCAAATTGTGCAGTGTTACTCAAAGCAAACTGCTCTACCTGCTTCATTAGAAACCTGCATTTTGAAATTCAACCCCTTCATCTCATTTAAATCCTCAAGCTCATTTATGAAAGTGTAACAAGATTTAACAGTAAGAAAGGTATTTTCTTGAATATGAATATATCTTACTGAAACTAAACTTAGAAAAACAAAATTCTTATCACACATTCCCAGAAACTCAAGTCAGAATTGTTATTTTCACTTTATAGACTGAGGAAAGCTATTCTGCCTACAATTTGAATGGCCCAATAAAAAGAAACAAGAAGCAACCAAGCAGTGGGATAAGGAGGAGGATCAGTCTAAAAGAACAAAAGAACAGAGACGTTCATCAGGTCCAAAGCTGAGATCTAATTGTTGCTTAAGCTCACATTAACCATTACAAACCAGTAGCTTCAACTTCCCACTAGTCCTGTGTGTTTGTAAAGAAATACATTCATTATACAGGCTCAGTGCACCCCCGGACCCTAACTAATGTGACTGCTTCTGTATTAGGGCAGTCACTGTCTTCAATGAATTGATTCATTGTGTCTGTTACCTGAGAACACATATATCTATCTATATCTAACCAATCCATTTCTCCTGAGCTTTTCCATCTTCAGAAATTATGAGGCAATCGATACAGAGGGAGCACTCTCCTATACCCTTGCAGCTCACTGAAAAGCTGAGCTAAGCATTATTCCCGGTCGTCTCCTCATTGCTGGCCTACGTTTAACTGCCGTGCATTAAATATTAACTCGGTTATTCGTAGGCAAAATTCTTTGTGTGCTGAAGTACTCAGAAAGAGCTGAGGAACAGCTCTTCTCAAATGGACCCGTTAACAGTGCATTAACCAAAATAAACAGTGATCAACGGTTAACTGGGCCGCTTTAAATACGGAGGGGCACACTTAAGCACAAAGTGCTTAAGCACAAAAGAGAAACAGGGCCAGCAAGCTCCCTGGGAAAGCCAAGCAACGGCTATCAAAACTATTTCAATCTGCAATGTGCAAAACCGGAAAAATATGCAGAGAGATACAGGGCTCGCATCAAACCCCAGAGCCCCCTCATTTCTGCCTAAGTGATGTTCCTTTTTTGCTTCCTAGTGACTTTAAACGTATTTGCTCACAAAATTCAGGTTAAATGTAATTTACAACTATAATTAGATTTAAAAAATATAAAATAAAAAAAAACTAAAAAAATAATCCGATGCTAATCTTGGATTGCCACTTGCTTTCATATAAACTGACTCATATTTTGATATTCACAGAAACTTTCATATTCCAGCCTGCAAACAGACCAGCAGTGTAAGTTTAAAAATAGCCCATCTGGCAAGCTTTACAACATGCAGCATGATTTGCATAATCCCATATAAAAGATTTATCAGGAATACAGTTTAACGGAAGCTACAGATAGAAAATGACACGGCATATAGAACCTTAACGTAACACAAGCGGCAACACTCATCGCGTTTTGTGCCTCGTCATGACTTCTCCCCGTCCTCTGCCTTAATAAATAACTTTTGCTGCATCATTCACGGGTTTACTTTCATTTCAGAATTTTGATTCAAGCGGTCCAAGAACTTGAACAGTTTTGCACTTCTTGCTTTACCGCGTTTCCCAGAACACGGTTACAGGGCTTTCATTCTACCGTGTCCTTCACGCCAACCACTGCGGGCACACTTTCACACAATAAATACCGGCCCACGGCACTTCATATGCAACCAGCAACGCTTCCCACCAGAGCGGCAAGGGGACGGCAGCCACACCGACGGGGATGGCGGAGCCGCAGGGAACACCCTCCCGTGAGACAGGGGCAGAAGAAAGGCCGCAGCCCGCGGGGCCGGCTCTCTAAAACTAGGCCCGGAGCGGGCCGGGCGCCGGCCGGTACTTTCAGTACTACTCCCCCCACACGCCCCAGAGCCGCCGCAGGGCAGGGCGCGGCGCGGCCCGTCCGGCTGCGCAGTTCGCCCTGGGCCTCCCCGAGGTCGCCCGGCGGGGCGGGGCAGGGGGCGCTGCGGCCACGCGCGGCGCGTACGTGACCGTTGGGGGAGGGGAGCGAAGCGGCCCTGGGGTAACGGCCACCGCGCGGCGGGTGGAAGGGCGACCGCGTGGTGGGGGGGGAGGGGTATGAGGGAAGGAAGGACGGGCGCCGTGACCGCCCCCCCCCGCGGGCAGCGCGTACCTGCAAGTGACCTGCTTGGTCCAGCCGCCTCCTTCCAGCCCCACGATGGGCGGCGGCACGGCCGCGAAGTCGAAGGTCGCGGCCGTCGCTCCCACGTCCGCAGCGGCGAGTGTCCCCGGTGCCTCAGCCGCCGCAGCGTCGGCCGTTGTTCCCAGAGCCACCGCCTCGGCCATTACTGTTTGCGCCCAGGCGGGAACGCGCCCCGTGACGGACGGGGGCTGTTAGTGCCGTTGTCCCCGCGCGGTCTCCGTAACGTAACGGCGCGCTTGGGACGTTCGGTGGCGGCCTTGGGGAAGGGCACCGCCGTGTACTGGGCCCAGGCGCAGCCTCAGACGCCTGACGGGGTGGGCCCTTAAACGGCAGCCGGGCGGGCCTGTGGTGGTGGGGCTGGCTCAGCGCGCGTGGGAAAAGGGTCGTTCCCCCCTCGGAGGAACGCGTAACGGAGACGTGGCGCCGGCTAGGCTGGTGGGAGGAGGGAAGAGGGGCCAGTGGCGCTTCAAGAGCCCAGTCTGAATGTTGGCGCTAGGCCAGCAGAGAGTTCAGTGCTGCTAATTCGGGGTGAGAAACATCATGTCCTGCCATAATAAATCCTGGTTGAGAAATTACTGTTTGCCTGGTGTGCGTCGTGTCCTTGTCATCTTACTGCCAGGAGTCTTCAGCCAAGTACTAAAGACGGCCTGAAAAGGCAGAGTGACAAGTAGGGGTGCCAGGGCAAGACAAAGAAGTCTGACACTGCAGGGTTACTGATATTTTGCATACCTATTTGGAAATATATTAAAAAATCAAACATACCTAAGCTGTCGGTCACTTCAGAAAAATACTGAAGTTTAGCCTTTGTTCTAAAGGGGACCATCCTGAAATGGCCAGGACATTAGGAATTGCACTAGAGTGGTCAGAAGAGGCAAATCTCTGCAGGTTGCCTTGAAACATTCCTCAGATGACCTGAGGAGTCAGGTAACATGAATGCCCTTGCTGGCATTTTCTGGAATGTGCAGAGCTGGGACCTGGGCAAACAGAACTCAAAAGGAGGTGAAGTACACATACCGATTTTGATAGGACAAGGGGGAACAGCTTTAAGATGAAAGGGGAAAAGGGGTTACATTAGATATAAAGAAGAAATTCTTCCCTGTGGGAGTGGTGAGACACTGGCACAGGTTGCCCAGAGAAGCTGTGGCTGCCCCAGCCTTGGCAGTGTTCAGGGCCACGTTGGACAGGCCTTAGAGCAACCTGGTCTAGTGGAAGGTGTCCCTGCCTGTGGCAGGGGGTTGGAACTGAATGATCTTGAGGTCCCTTCCGACCCAAACGATTCTTTGGTTTTAACAGACTTCAAGGTAAATGTTTCCATCAGAACAAAAGATTGCAAAAAGCTGGTCTTCACAGGATTCAGTGGACAAAGGTTTGGGCACAGAGATGTTTTGTTCTTGGGAATGAACATGGTTTGTTATATAAGACCAACCTTCACCCAAGATAAGGAGCTGGCATCAGACAGAGGCCTCAATCCGGGTTCTCTGTGCAGCACTGACAGTGGGAAGCAGCAGCTGAGGTTAGCAGCCCAGTGGTCAGTGCCATATAGTTTCAAATCCAGTTCCACAAATCCCTGTTACGAGAAAGCTAGGATGTTCAATGGAAAACTGAACCAGGAGGATCAGGAAGGCCCTTTTTGGCAGTTCATGCTAAACCAAGAAACTTACTTTCTGCATCTGTGTCCATCACAGAGCATTCTTCATACAGTGTTCAACACTGAAACCAAAGTTCAAAACCCACACCAGGTTTGTACATCAGGTTAGTCTTACATTCTGTTAGAAACAGCTGGGAAAAAAACAAACAACGTTCATATTAGGAAATAAATAATCAAATACTTTCTCATAATGCCATTAAGATCATCTGGAAAGTTGTTTTGGAACCATTAGAATGATTGTGAAAATCTGCTGATGAAAGTGCAAGTATGTAAGCCTTAAAAGAAAGGTTATATCACTGAAGAGTGACTTTGTCAGGCCTTCGTGTTGGTTAGATTGTTGGCTTACATAGCAGCCCTGGCACAACAGCCAGTTCCAGGTGCCTAGTTCACACAAAGGTAAAACAGATGGTTAAATAAGTGTTCTGTATGACTCTGCATGTCCCTAATACATCTTCTGGATGCTGGTGGCCTAGAAACAAGCTTCACGATTGAGAAACACCAATAAGCAAATCCCAGCCCACAGAGCTGCTGCAGATTAATAGACTCTTTGAAATCAGGTACGTAGGAAAAGGAAAATACTGTCTCAAGGGAGACATGACAAAAACTAATGTGGAGCTTCTCATTTCCCTAACGCCTTCGGTAGTGATGCCTCTCAGAGAGAAGGGGTTTCAGAGGAGATGGTAGCTGGGGCAGGAATCAGTCACAGATGAAAATGCAAGGGTAGCCCCAGGGTGCAGCTCCCAGCAGGCTATAGGAATTTACCATGGTGACTTCATTGTTCCCAGCCGCTCCCATTTTACCCGGCAACCTGTTTAATATTAACTTCTACATCTGAGGCCCAGAGTGGGAAGTACCAGCAGCAAGGTCTCAGGGTCACTGCAGGCAGACAGGACTGGAAAGTCAGCTATCACTGCAGCAAGCAGAGGAGGGAGTTATCCACAGTTACCCCCAGGTTTGCTACACAAACTGTCTCCAGCTGTTCTTTAGGACTTTCTCTTCTGCCAGCCACTTACTCACTGTAGTCCTGACTGCCACCCCAGCCCTTATACCATCATCAGCCATACATCACATTTCAGAAACAGGCTAGGAACAGCATGACCAGCCTGTCCCTCAGGAGCTGGCAGGTATCAAACTGGCCCACTCTTCCTGGCTCAGCAAGCCTCAGTGGCTTTTATAGTACAGCAAAAGTTGGGGTTAGCCCTTGAAAAATTGCTCATGTAAGATCTTATTTTCATTGTATAATAATACACAAAACCAAATCAAAACCTGAGATGTGTACAAGACTGCTGGAATCCCTCAGAGAGCTGCTTGAGTGGCCCTGTTTTGTCTTGGAGACCTACACGTCATATTGGAAGGCTGAGCTAGAAATCCAACAGGCTGATTTTCCACTTGGTTTGAGGAGAAAAATGGCAGATCAAGCAACACACTCTTACCCCTACTTATCTGGCAGACTGAACTGGGTGCCCCCTGCATAACATCATCTTGAGATAGTCTTGATGTTGAGAGTTGGAAGCTGAGTGACCAGCTTGATTACTAAATCATCTTGCCTGGTAGCATACCAAAAATGCGATAGCCCAGATGGTTCCTACACTACTGCAGTCTTTCCAAATAGATTTAATTGAAAATAAAATGATATCATTTTAATTTGTGTTTATTTTTTAAAAATGCTACTTTGCCTACACATTTTCTTTTCCATACATCCGACTACCCATCCCCCCAGGAAGAAGATACCATTCACAGGATCTTCAGCATCCATTTATGGCATCTGAGGATGCAATTTATCATTTCTGCAATTAAATTCCCTCCAGATGCATAGCAAAAGCCAGAGGCAGATTGTCTTTGTAACTCAGCAAGCTGTGTTTGAAGTTTCTTGAATGTGTTTAGTTGAAGAGATTGGAAGGATGTAGAAAATAAGGTGACATTCATTACTGCTGAGTTAAACAAAAGTTGCAAGAAACTTCCTTTTGAAAGGGATAAGTGTAAAGTGCAAATACTTCTTTAACAACCTATGTTTTACAATTTCCTGATTAATGGATTGCAGTCAAATCAGTTCCATGACACTGATTACTTTACCAATACATTAGCAATTACTTCAGCTGGTTTTATGTTATGTGTGGAAGCTGCGTACAATTATGTTCGTCTTTTATCGCATAAATCAATGCCTTCATGGGTAGCAATTTAACCCTGAACTCTCGTACTTTCTGCAGAATGTAAAATCAAAACATTTGTAATAATCAGTGCATTAGATCGCAAAGTATTATTGCTTTTATGAGGGGACAAAGATTAATTCATTTCAAAGTCCTCTTTCAAAGCCACCCTGGAACTGCTAGGTTAGATTGTCTTTACAGTAGGAGACTACAATAGTTGTCCCCTGCAAACCCAGCTTGTGTTGATGTAGCCAGGTGTGCATCATAGAGTATCACCACAACTGTCTTTAGACCTACAGCTTTCCTCACTTGGGAGACCAGAGCTGAGTAGAGCTCTTACCCAGAGAAGAAAGAGCTTAACATCTGTATTTGGCAAAGTTGTGGGGGAGGCATGAATGTAGTTCCTCTGCTTTTTAGGAACAAGTACAAAGGGTCTCAGTCTGCAGAGGCATTGTTTCAGTGAGCAATGAATTCACACATTAAAAAAATATATCAAACAGCAAAAGAATCTGAAAAATGAGAGAAGTCTTCTGAAGAGCGAGGGGGGAGTCTGGCACCATGGGAACAAAAATAATCACAGCAGCTTGCCTCGCCCCGTTGTGAAATGGCCCCCTGCACCCCAGGCAGCGAGCAGTTGCAGAGGTCAGCTGCCTGTGGTTAATAATAAATAGGCTCTCTTTGCCAGGAGCGCCAGGCTGCACACCCCCATGTGATGCTCCTGCCCCCCCCCCCCCCCCCCCCCAATCCTCCTGCCTTCTCCAGGGCTGCCCAGGCACTGCTCCAGCACCCACCCAGCCTCCCTGCATGAGGCGAATGCCCAGAGGTAAGAGACATGCCAGGCCGTTGCTCCATGAGGTTGGATAAACTGGATCGATCATGGGGAGAGGTGAGCAGGGAAGGTTTGGAGGAGGGAGGAAAGCCTGTCCGTGCTAGAGGAGTCTGCAAAGTTTTGTTACAAGGCAAGAGGTCGGGTGGGTCTTGCTATAAGACTTGCCAAGCTTCAAAACTCTTTCAGGCAGCTCAGGCCAAGCGTTGGCTGAGTTTCCCGCGAACATCAGGGAAGTTGTATTGAGTTTCAGGTGCTGACCAGCTAGGTTTTATCCACCAGCCGGCACAGCTTGGGCACTCCTGGCTGTTGTGCAGCATTTGGGGGGTTGTTAACATTCAGAGCACAACTCGAGCAGCTCAACTGATCCCTGGCGTAACCTTGTTGGCTTAATGAATTTATTCCAAAGCTGACTTTGCCCTGGAGAGCAAGGGGTGTATACACACACACACAGAGCAATACCAAACATTTGCATGAACTACTCAGGCTGCTGAGCTTAGCACTGCACAGGCAGAGGTTGTAAGCGTGAAGTAAGAGCTTTTGCCACTTTGCTGTCATAATATGATTCCATAAACTTGATTAAGATTTTTATCCTTAAAAAGGATTTGGAAAGTGGAAAATCTTACTGTTTCAGACAGGTGTGTATTGTGTCTAGCTGAACCAGGCCCTTTTTTCTTGACTTACACAACCCAGCTGTCCTGTACAGCTGAAGTTTTCGGATCTGGGCAAAAATACTCTTCCTAGGTAAAAGATGTTTCTATATAGCTCTAGTGCCACACGCTGGGCTCAGAGCGGTGTTCTGCTGAATGTAACATGAGCACAGAACTTATTTTAATTGATTTGCAATCTAAATTAACAATAGGTGCAAAGGACTGAAGAGTGGAATCTTTTCCTTCTGGTGAAGGCGTGAAGAATAGAAAGGCTGGAGGGATACAGCAAAACGCCCAGGGAAAATAAGTGAAGCACTCAGGCATTGAGTGAAACTGCCCCGAGGCCCAGACCAGACCAGTCTCTTAACCTTTACAGCTCTCTCTCCCTCTTTTTCTGTTTGGAAATGAATGTAATTAAAGTGAATAGGAGTTGCTAAGAGACCGGAGGAGTTCTGGAGTTTGTTGCCGGGGCTGAACTGCGGCTCTGCTTCCACAGCTTTGCGCTAAGAAGGATGATGTAACGTGAGCCTACATAAAGCTCTCCGGGCTCTAGGGAAAGCTGCTCTTTCCTCCTTGTACTTACAGCTTGGTTTACCAGTTCCCAGCTCCTTTCTTTGTTTTATTGAACTGCTGTTTCCTCCTAGACACTAGCAAAAACTGGGTTCATATCTTTATAGCATTCCTCTGCCTGCGTCCGCCTTGTACATTGCTCTCCGTGATCTTTCAGGCTGGAGGTGGCAGTGGCTGAGCCTGCAATCTGTCATGAGCAAGTAGCTTTGGAAATTAAAGTTGTCTACTTCCAACCTCTCTCTAGTTTGTTACTCCTCATTAGTTACTCTGCTTCCCCACGATTTCAGCCCAGTGTTAACAACGGGCCAGGTGAACCCTTCCAACTCCATTTCTGCAGCGTAACATTTTGCTTTGACAGCATGGCTCATGCTTGAAGCACCATGAGTCTCCCGGCAGTCTCCTGGGCAAGGGTTGTTTACCTGCCGAGATCAAGGCAGTAGATGGTATGTTTAGCTTCACATGGTCCCATTACTGCTAAATTACCTCTTTTGTTTTTGCCTGACTTTTGTTATCTCAGCACCAACTGAATGCGAAAGATGATTGGGAAGATAGCCTGGAGCCTGGGAAAACATGTATCTACTGTGGCATGTGGGACCACCCATGTGAGAAGATTTCTGCGTGGTAAGTAGTGTATTCTGAAAGAGTTCCTGGGTGGAAAGCATTTTCCTCATTTGAATGCAGCAGGGACCTTGCTGACAGTGTTCTGGGAGCAAAACAAAGAGCAACAATAGTCTTGATGCACAATAGCCTTACAATGTATTGAGTTACTATGGTATCCTTGGTCTCTCCACTCTTTTAGAACGTATTCTTTGAGCATGGTTTCAGGGCTCTGTTCACAGTAATGTTAATTTAAAGTAATGTTACTGGAGCCAGTGACAACGCAGCTGCAAAACTGGTGGCAGAGGAACACTCAGTGATGATGAGGACGATTATTGTTCATACCAACAACAGAGATATTTTGCAAATATTTCACTTACATAAGTGAAGCTTTGTGAAGTTATTTCTGAATTCACCCCAAAGAACAACTAAGAGGGGGATAAATTTGTTGTGATGATGACAATTTGTCTTTTATAAAACAGCTCAGTAGTAACTTCAGATATCCACACAAATAATTAACTTTTCTGTGTTTATCCCCAGGTGCTTATGTCAGGATTCAGCCTTCCATACAGGAAGCCCTGATGGAGGGGAGACCAGTCGTAGCCTTGGAAAGCACCATTATTACACATGGCATGGCCTATCCTCAGAATTTGAGGTGGTCGATTTTGATGTTTCTTGTTCAACAAAGTTGTAAGAACAGGCATATAGCTGGTGTATCAGGACTGGTTTTCTTGGTCAAGCCAAAACCCCTGTAAGAGCAAATGGAAATTGTCAGGCATGCAGAATATGAGCTCTGGTGTAAAACAGTTGTATTTGGCCTTTTAAGGACACATATGGGGTACTATTTATCTTCTTATCCAACACCATACATTTCTGGCTTCCTTTAAAATGTGGCACCAGATAATGTCATCACTTGCTCTGAGAGAAGCTGCATAGTTTTTACAGACATTGAAAACGCTCTGCAGTTTCTTTTGGTATATCTTTCATAATGCAAAAAGGACTGGAATACAATAGTGAAATCTGTTCCTTGCTGCCACTCAGGGCAGCTACTGTGAGAGCTACTGGTCCCTCTTGCTGCTTTCTGTACCCTGCATAGAACCTCTCCAACCTCTACCCTTTATTTACTGATGCTCAGTAGACTCGCGTTTCGTAGGGTTACAGTGCCAGAAATAATTGTACTCTCCATCCTTGCTTCCAGAAAGAACAGGAATTTTTTGGTATTGATTTTCCATCTTGATTTTTACCTGGCTGTTATTCTTCCTGACATTCTTAGAATGAAACTCTAAAAACCTGATTTTGGGAAGGAGGTAGTTTCAGTAGTTACAGATTGCCTAACGTATGTGCAGATGGCTCAGAAAAGAAGAAGCTGCTCTTAAAAAGGATAGTGTATGATTGATGAAATATAAAACCTGTGAAGCTTAGAAAGACCTAGACTGTAGCCCTGGAGTATCCTCAGGCACTGCTGTTACTCTGTAACTGCCTGTATTGTGAAAAATATATCCTGGTCTTCTGAGCAGGGCTTCAATTACCTGAGGTTTCTGTGAAGGTTTATGATCGCAGAGAAATAATGGGTAATAGATATAGAAATAGCTATTTTGAGGCAATCCCTGTTTTTCAGTAGTCTATTGTACAACCAGATTTGCCTGTACAATGCCAAGCAATGTTTTCTTTTCTCAAAAATGAAGCATAAAGCTTGGACATTGCTGTCCTGAAAACGGGACCTCTGCACTTCTGCAAATTCAAATGCAAAGACTTTTGCCACTAGGAAAATACAGAAGAGGAATTGGACTTTGCTGAAATCACAAGGACTGTATAGAACTGGAAGCTGGGAATAATGGCCATCAAACATGGCAGTTTTCTTGTCTGATTGTTTGCCTCATGAATTTTGTGACTGTTGTCTTGTTTATCTTATTCTAGCATGGCCAGAGATGTGGAAGAAATTGTAACAAAAAATGGAGCAGTGCCAGCCACTGTAGGTATCTTAAGAGGTCAAATCCATATAGGACTCACAGATGAGGAACTTGAGTTCTTGGCAAGCAGTAAAAATGTAACTAAAGTGTCTCGGAGAGATCTTCCTTTTGTCCTCAGCCAGGTATGGTTTGTAGACTTTCTGTTTTAGTGTTTTCTCTACAGCTATAGTGTAATGCTCCTCAGCTTCAAGCCAGGTGCCTCTTAAACTTCCTGAAAAGATCATGTAAAGTGGTATTTTACTGGCAAGCTCAAATGTGGTCCTATCTAGAATAAAAATACAACAAAGTATGGGAATAGCAGCCATAGGGTTAGTGAAAAGGCATTCTGGATTGGCTGGCAAGCCACGAGTACTGGGCTAAGAATATTATTGGCATGATAAGGCATCATCACATTACATACAAACTATGTGACATGCAGGCCATCACAAGCTTAAAGTGACATCTTAAGGTGACACTAGCTGCCTATGAAGCCTTCTGGTTGGAAAGCCCTGGAAATCCCTGGTGAACAAAGGCCTTTGCAAGAGCAGCTTATGTAGCAGGGACCATGATTCTTCTGTGGTTTTGCCTAATAGAATATTTGTATCAGTATTTCACTTGTCAGCTGGTGACAGCAGGCTGTTGTGACATTGCTGTGTGTCAGACCACAACCACAGCTGCCCACATGTAGCACTCTCCATGTCACCCTGGGTGCTGACTGTGACTTTGTCCCCTGACAGGGCTTGTCTGGTGGCACTACTGTGTCTGGAACAATGATTGCCGCACACAAAGCAGGAATCCATGTGTTTGTGACGGGTGGCATAGGAGGTGTCCATCGGGGAGGAGAGAACAGTAAGAAAATCAATATATTGTACTTTGCTTTATTTCATTCCATCTTTTTCCATTTTCCCAGTTTGTCCTGCAGAAGAGTAAAGTTATCATTCTTCTTAACCATATTATGGTTGTTTTTTCCCTGGTGTCTCCTTTCCAGAAGCTTCAAAATACTCCTCTTGAGCACTGGCCAGTTGTTAAGAGGCTATGAGTTTACCTTTTGCTTACATGGGGTTAAATGGATATTGTTTGCTGTCACAACAGGAGCTGACTGTACCTTTTCCACTTTGTAATGGCTGGATAACCTGATAGGGGCTTGGAGGACAGTGTTGTTACTGACTCCCTCTCAGCTGGGGAGGCAGAATATATCCACAAAAGAAGCTTAGGCCCTGGTCTGTGTTAGAAGTGCATGTTCCTCTCTGGAAAATGGCCCAGCCTTGGCAGTGTAGTTTGTGACCTTTAAGTACGTTCTTTCTTCGTAGTCGTATATATTCCTAGCACAGCATAACTGCATTGCTCAGCTGGATGACATCCCTTTCAGATGTAAATTCAAGACCAGGAAATGTTCTGAGGTCAGCAAAGATCCTGTGGCTTTTTTTCTTTGCCAGTGATGTCAATACCAAAATCAAAATCTACTTAAATTATATTCCATCTCCCTGAACTTTGCCCTTGCTGTATAACACCTTCTTCTTTCTTTTCTACCAAATTTTTACATGCTGTTTATTGATGTGATCAAAGAGCGGAGAGATACAGTGCATGGCTGCACCTCTGCCCTAAGCTATGTGATTTTTTGTCAATATCTCTTTCTATCGCAACACTTAAAGGCATGATCTAAACCTGTAATATTTGTTTCTGGATCTAAGTGGTTACAAAAGCAGGCAGTGGCATCCCAGGCAGAGACAACTTTTTAAGAGGGCAGATCACATCTGCTTGGAATACAACACAGTCACCGACACAATGTCTGCTTGTCCCTTGACAGGTCTGGATGTGAGTGCTGACTTGACGGAGCTAGGACGAACTCCGGTTGCTGTTGTATCTGCAGGAGTCAAATCTATCCTTGATATTGGCAGGACACTGGAATATCTGGTAGGTAGCATGGGCTGCTGAGCCTGAAAGCAGGGAATGTGCTTTGTGTCCAGAATGCCCAGTGGTGTTGGGGTAAGCATTAAACCTAAGATTTTTAGAAGTTACTATTGAGAGGACGTGAAGCTATATTTACTGTTCTCTAGTTCTGGGGCTATACAAGCTCTGGGCTGCTCCCTAACATAAATTTATCCATGCCCAAGGGGCTGTTCCAGCACCTGTTCCAATTGACGCCAAAACCAGTGCTAGCCATGCTGTCTTTCTCTGGCTTTGGACTTGATTTTCTGGGACAATACTTCAGAATTGGTGGATCAGGCAAGCTATATCCATCAAATGCTAAAATAGAATTAAAATGGGAATCAAATGATTTTCAGTAGAGTCACTTTTTAAGGTTTGGGAACCACCAGGGCCAGTGCTTCAGGTAACTGCCAACATCAATGCTTCTTAATCACAAACAGAACTCATTTATATTCCTGTCAGCTCACAACATGTCTTCAGATCACAAGTTGTTACCTCATACTCAGTGTTGCCCTAATGACAGCTGCATGGCTTTTGATCAGCTCTGAGCACAAGCACAGGACATGCACATCTCCTGTGGAAGCCAAATTCTGTCTATCCTGTTACCATGGCTGGCTCTTTACTTCAAAAAATGTTGGTGATATAACTGAGTAGAGTGGGATGCATAAAATAACCAAACCCTGTGCTAAAGAAAGACAGTTTCTAGGAAAAAGCCCCTTCTTTTGGTGGGCCCCCTTTCCCTCTGCTGATTACCTGCTGGTCTCGCCTCCACTGCTGCAGGAGACACAGGGAGTTTGTGTGGCTGCCTTTGGAGAGTCAAGGGACTTCCCAGCCTTCTTCTCACGCCAGAGCGGCTTCCAGGCACCATATCAGGTCCGGGATGAAGAGGAGGCAGCTCAACTCATTGGTGTGTTTCAGAAAGAAAAGGCCCATGTAGGGCCTTGGAGGAGCAGGACACAAAAATCACATTTGGATGAGGCACTTTTTTAAGAGCTTTTTTTGGAGAAGAGTTTGTCCAAAAACCAGGCCATCCCACCTCCCCCATTCCTGCTTTAGTGCTTTGTAAAGCAGCAGTGAAATTCAGTTTTTACAGCAAGTTTCTTACCTAGCTGCAGCCACCTTGGCATGCTGAGACATGTTTTCTTCACACTGGTGAGGTAAAGGGAACATATATGTTAATGTATTTACAAAAACAGTTTCTGAGCCCTCAGAAGTGGAGTCAGTTTTCTTTACAAAAACAAATTATTTGCCCCTTTATTGTACAGACTCAAAAGAAATAGGCACGTGTAAACTGTTTGGTAGCTGGAAAAGACTAGACCCTGTCTTTGGGTCAGCTAAGAACAGGAGCTTCTGCTCTGTGGGTTCCTTCACTCTGCACCCACTCTTCTCTGTCATTTTCCTTCAGCATTTGATTTACTCAAGGAGAACCACTAATGATGTGCCTGTCCTCTCCCAGCCAGTGCTCTGGGGCTGGGCATGAGCAGCGGGGTGCTGATAGCAGTGCCCTGTCCCAAGGAGCGAGCTGCCTCAGGCCAAGTCATCGAAGAAGCCATCCAGCAAGCTCTCAGCGAAGCCAGGTGAGAACCAACCTAAGCCCTAGCCTTTGCTCACCTGGGTCCTGAAGAAGTAGACGACTTCAGGGACACTGCTACAGGGGCTGTAGTACAGTCTAACCTCAGGCATGAGTGAGCCCACAGCATGCTTTCAACTGTAATTTTGTCTAACCTGAAGCATGTTTGCAGGACTTTTTACAGTATGTGGTTATGGAGATAAATTATCTGCTAGAAGCAGTGCTTCTCCTTGGATGCTGTTTCAGCTCAGTCCTTCTCATCTGCAGGCGTTTTCTTTACATCTGCAGGTCCAAAGGGATCACAGGCAAAGAACTGACCCCTTTTATGTTACGGAGGCTCAGTGAATTAACTGATGGGAAATCACTGGACTCCAGTATCCTTTTAGTGAATGAGAGGGGGGAAGTACTCCAGTGTACTGTCTCTTCTGACAATGCTTGGTGAAAATGCTATCACTTTATTGGCAGTCTAGCAAGGGGAAAACACTTCAGTATCTGCAAACAGATGAGAGCTTAGCTGTTGCATCTTCCTTTTTCAGGAGCACCATTAACTGTCCTCATCCACTTTTGCATTAAAAATTGGAGCGCAGCACAGACAGCAGGTGGTCCAGAGTCCAAAGAGATCCCTTACATCTGATCCCCAGGCTTGCCTGTCCTGTGATGGAATCTCAGGACACTGTTGTCCATGGTAGGATTGCACAGTGGAAGGTACCTGGGCTTTCCAGAGCACTGCACTCTACATCCCGCTGCCTTAGCCAGCTCATCATGCGGGCACACAGTAAGAGAAACTTGTAAGGGAAACAGCTATGGGTGTTAAAATTCAGGGTGTTCATGCAGTACAGTAACCTAGTATTTGCCTCCCCAAAGGGTGTAGGGGGTTCAAATCTATCAAGTCTCACAGCACATATTTTCTGCATTCTCCTCTAAACAGTTCCTACATAGGCTTCTAACAGGTCAGTCTTGCTGGTATTTTTGCTTTTCCTCAAAGAAATGCCAAACAGACCTTGCCCTGATCCAGAACAATGCCAGAGTGGGCAGTGGCATTGCGGTGGCCCTGAGCAAACTGCAGAAAGCCAGGAGGAAGGGGAACCTGCCTCGGCGAGAGGACACAACTCCACCCCAGCCAGTGAGTTGTCTGCCTTCCGTATAACGCCTCTGCTGACAGCACAAGACGCATTTATATCTGTTTACAAAAGCCAATCTTAAGAGCCCTATCTTAATCTAGTATTTCTTATTTGTCTTAGATAAATATCCTTTCCTCTCCCCCACCCCTCATCCATATTTACAGGGAATGAACACTGACAGTGGCCTAATCCCATTAAGTCTTAGACCGCCAAATCCATTAAAACTTTAATCACCTTTTACTGTGCCCTTATGTACAACTTCAGCTGTATTGCTTTCAGTGCCAGGGAACTCGAGACTACAGGAGTAGACCTGGAAGAGGGTAGAGGGAGATATTTTGAGCTGTTGAGCTATACATGTTTTATAAATATCTCCTTTTTGTTGGCCTCCTGCTCATAATTGCAAAAATTACAAAAGGTACAGCATATCCTGAACAAGATCCATTATAATCCCAATACTCTATTCACTCTCCTGGATTTTTTTGTGTGCCACATAATTTATGGGAAATCTATTTTAGGTAGTCTTCAGAGAGATGGAAAATTTTCTAAACCCCTTTTGCAGTAAAATTTGTCGACATAAAAGAGGGCAGTGACTCCAGAGACAATAACCCAGCATCTGATGGAATGAGAAAAAACCCTGTATGTCCCAAAAGAACTTGGAAACTTCCTGTTTGTGGAGCTGTATTGCTTTTTCTGGCTTTGTAGGACACTAAGAGAGTGCTCCATAAAGTGTCACTGGGTGTGGAAATTTCTCCTGGGAGCTTGCAAGAAATGACTGCATTTTTCTGTCCACTTTTTCCCCATTTTCTTGTCTTTCTTACACAACAGTGCTTGAATGTTTCTGAGGTTTTGTATGTCAGAAATTGTCCCAAGAGAAATGGCTTCAAGGGCACTGATGTGACCAGACCCATGCAACGCCTCACATTACTTTATCACCACACAGAGAAACTGCCAGTACCCATACATGTATACAGTAGCATCCCACCTGCCATGCTGGGGCTTGCTATGAGCAGGAATAATCAGAAAGCAACATATAGAAGAGATTTCCATTCTTCCTAATTTGTACAGACTTGTGTCTAGCCATCCAAAATAAGCACAGTGAAAATTAGCCAGCTCTCAAGAGGGTGGGAAAAGTGACTAGGAAAAGCAAAGAAGACTTGGAAACTTTTTCTTCAAGTCCGTCTAACCACTTTTTACATCTTTTTTTCTCTCCTGAAGGTGGTGATTGGAGGCATCAACGTTGACTTTATAGCCAAGGCACAGAACCCTGTCATCCTGGTACTGTATCTAGCAGTTTCCTTAGCATCACTGCCATTTCCAGCTATTTTTACAGGAGTACCAAGCCAAAGTTGGGGTGGGGAGGAAGGCAGCATCCACCCACGATATCTTTATTGTACCCACATGTCTTTATCCATACACATGTGCAAACCTGGGAGGTGTAGTGGTGCATATTTGATGTGTTGTCTAGGTGAGCAATGGAATGATACATATTGACCTATTCTGTTCCCGTGCTAAAAGTCACTATCTCTGCCACTCAAGACAAAAGACAGAGCAATGGGTCACCCTAATAATCTCCGCGTATGACTCTGGCCTCTACAGACTATCTTAAGGTGCTCTGGGAATATTCCCTGATTCCAAAAGCCCAAAGAGTTCTTTTAGCAGAAGAGCTGCCAAGGACATTCTAGAAGCACATATGCAAAGAGCTAGAAGCAGCAGGTGAAGGCCTTCACTGTGCTGTGACAGCTCTCATTCAAAAGCTGTCACACAATAGAGGGGAAATCTCGAAGTAAGAGCCAGCTCTGGGTGCCTGGGACTGTCTTTGCTGTGGAAGGGCAGCATGAATAGGAAGCAAGAATCTCCATGCAGAATGCTCACAGTGGTAAGAAACCTCTCAGAAAAGAAGTACTGACACGCTTACAGCAAACCAGAGAACCAACTGCCTCAGTCATGAAGGGTTTAAGTCACACACAGAGAAAAAAACTTAAAAAAAAAAGAAAGAACATTTTAAATGTTATCAGACCCTCTCCCTCTCAATTTGGTTTGACCACAAAACGCCCAAGAATCTAAAGTGGAACAGACCTGGGACTTCCCCGTGCAAATGACAGCTATTTGCATGGCCTATACAATTTTTGTTGAGCTATATGAAGTACTATAGATGGAGGCGGTGAAGCTTGCTCAACAGTTGTTTTGTGTCTCAAATTACTCCATGCTGTCCTTCCTGTCCAAGGACAGGAAACTCCTGCTGCCAGATGGGACAGCCTGCGAAGACCCCTCAGTCAGATAGGGAAAGATGTGCTGGAGAAGCTGTCATTACAGAAGTTGGCTATTCAGTGATACAAAGGCAGAGACCAAACAGTAATATAATGGTCAAGGGTGACAATTGCTGTGGTATCAGCTATGAAGGCTTGCAAAACTAAAAGTTCAACTGCTTCGGTGATGATCTAACCTATAACATCCATATGCCACACTCAGCTGTCAGGACAAGGAGATAAGCTGTGTCCCAGGGAAGGCAGCCACCCCCTGGTGTGTCAAACGTGAGTGCAGATCCCTGGACCGCCCATGGCACAGTGAGGAGGCAAGGGCAGCTATAGACACTGCTGGGAACAGCTGATGGGGGGAAAGGGAAAAGGAGATACTAATGGTGTATGAAAAAATGAGGCATTAGCTGCCCTTCTGTATAACAGCAAGCGTTAAAGTTAGGCCATTGTGGCAACTACTCAAATGCCAAACTACAGGAGGATTTGGGAATTGACAGCTGTAACACTGCTGCTGACAGCTGCTGTGGTTAGGCACAGAGGAAAAAGCACTCTCAACAGCATTGCTTTGTTTTGGCTTCAAAAGATAGGTCTTTTCTAAAGGGCTTAGCACCCAGCAGCTCCCACCCTTACGTGTTCTGGATTTGTTGCAGATCACTGGAGTACCACTCACACCTCTTGCTGTCTCCGCAGGAAAGCTGCTGTATTATGTCCTGGTTGTAATTCCCACATGGCTTTCAAGGGTATCCAGATGCAAAGTGCTATCTGACTAAATATGCAAAGTAACCATCTGACCTGCAGAGACTGATGTTTGGTTTTGCTGAGAAGAGGTGCTAGAAGCAGCATAATGATTATAACTCCCTCAGGATACCCAGAAGTTGAGCAGAGTCTCATTTTTGCCTTAGGAATTCAAACCTCTTAGGACATGGAAGAAGATCCCAGA